TGATGTCCGAGGATGTTGCTGGTGTTTGTCATTGGGTGTTTCAAGGCCCCCCTGTTTGGTGGTGATGTCAAATGGAGCGTGAAAGGATGCATGGACAGGTGTTTGAATGAGATGATCATCATTAGGTTATTAGGTTTGCACGTTTAAAGCTACTTGTAGGTATGATCCATTCTGGAATCGATCTTAATCATTGGGGTTTCTGATGGTTTCTGTCAGTGGGATTCTGGTTCAATTGTCCCACCTCCTGATCAGCGATTGGCAGATGCTTCGATAGATAACCGGCCCCGCCTTGTACTGTACCCCACTTGTTTCAGATGATGGCTACAGGCTAGAGCATTGCACTCATCCGAGCTGCTCCTCAAACATAGCCCAAGCCTGAAGCCATGACAAACGACGTCCCACTCAAACTCCCTTTTCATCCCTTTTCAATGAACTCCAAATGCTCCAAGCAATGAAAACTACCAGGGCAAGCTGGACGAGGCTGGAGCAATTGGCGGTCGTGATTCATTTTGAGAGGATATTCTTTTGATCAATTGATACTTTTGATCGTTTGCCAATTGATGTCAGAGTGGACCGTTGATCAATTGATGTGTTGAGCGAGTGGACCGTTTGACTGTTGCCTCGGAAAGAAGAAGAACATGAATCAAGAATCAATCAGTTTTAGAGAGCATTGTGGTGACCTCAAAATAGAGCCAACAGACTTAGTACAGCCATCAAGGAACATTCTTTCCAAACAGTCTTTGCTGCCATGACGGCCATCGTCATGGCAGTATATCATGGTTTGGATGCTTCACCACTATGAGAGTGGTTATGAGATGTTATGATGTGAAGGAAAAACCTGATGTTTTTTTTGAATAAATGATGGTCAAGTCAAAACAGCACAAATCAAAGTGTTCTGCAGTGGAAGTGCCCGGTCGATGTTCTGGCTCCGGTCAACGAAGCGCACTGACTTTTTCGCGGTGCGGCGACCATCAAAGCGCCAGAGAAGGTTACAAGATGTTGCAAGATTTACCTAGAATTACATAGAATTACTGTATATATATATATTATATATATATATAAATATATAATATATTTACTGTATATTGGTTGTCTATGAGTCTATGCCAGCAAGATGGTTCAGGCCTGGCGAAGAGGCGCTTTTCATGCCTGTACTTGGAATCTTGCTCAGCATGCCAGCATTGCCAACCAAATCTGGTTTAATCAGACGTTCCAAGCCTACCCACGACCTGACCGAACACCCGCCAGCATTTTCACGTCCTCTTCCCTTGACACCTCAAGTGCAGCCGAGTGGAGCCATGGTCCATCCGCCCTGTTTCGCCTTAAGTGCGCCGGTGCACGCGGCGGCACCACTGGGCGGCGGCCGGCCTGGCCTGGGCGTGCAACCACTCAAGCACAAGCCACCCGTGCAGCTTCTGGCGCCTGTGGGGGCAGCGCCTGGGAACGCAATCTCAAGATGTTAGTTAGTTATTTGACAGCCCGCTTGGGAGCTGGGAACCTTTGGCTAGCAGGGCAGGCAAGAAGGAATACTTTACATAAAACTACCTTGCGAGGCGTATAAAGCTGGCATTTGGAAGACGATCTCAATGGTAGATGGAACATGCACACTACGTCACCTACGCATCTTTTTGATCCAGCTGAATGCACTTCTCAGGTTTGGATCTATGGGCGGCGTTTCCGGCGGCGGTGTCGTGCGGTACAGATGAGAGAGCCAGTGGCACAGGAGAGTCTAGGGTATGAAACTGGGTGTGAGGATCCCCCCAGGTCGTTTGCCGCTGGGGCGATCTAAACATCGACCACAGCGAGTGCTTTTGCCCTGTAATGTAGGATGGAATCTTGATTTAATGTGGTTTAATATAACCCCATTTGGATCGTAAAGCCTCTCATATGTTATATGTTTAATTCACCCGCATGAATGCTTTTATTGCCCAGTGCAGTCAGTTCTCCTCAAGTCACGCCGTCCGTTCTCGTGACCGAACGGTCTTAGGAGGAGGTGGCGGAGATGCTCAACGGTCACGGTGACGGTTTCGAAGGCTCCAGCTGCCCCTTGTCGCGGAGGCTCAAAGATGTGGTCTTTGTGAAGGAGATGAGAGATCCCCGGATGCATGTCAAGCCTCCGGCGAGCAGTGGAAGGCAACTCATTACCGCTGTGGAAGTAGAAGATCAATGTAGGTCATAGCCATAGAACTACGAAAAGAACGCTTCATCTCAGGCCTCTTCAGGCCTCTCAGTGTTGTGATGCTCGGATGGTTCCAAGGATGCGATCACCTCCGGTGAGTTTGCCTTGAAGTTGGCAGGTGGGCTGTTCTTTCTCGCTGGGAGCTCATGACGGGCGTGCACTTCCAACATGTTCCAACCACCTTTTGGCAGGGGAGGATGTACAGTCACCCTACGTTCATTGGAATTTGGGTGCCAGATCCTTGCGTAGTGCTAGATCAAGAAACGTGCAAGGATCTACCAGATTCTGGATCATGCCAAATGTTCATTTTTGCCATGTGCCAAAGATCAAGAAACCGGGCACGGCCCATGCGTTTTCGGGCCAGGTTCTCGGCGCTTGGCAGCCATGACACTCGGTGGGAACCGGTGGGAATGACCTCCCAGGCGAGTGCCCAAAAGGGTGATTCGCAGCCAGGTTAGGACAACCTGGCTGTATGAGAAGCAGCTCTACCTGATATCATTCATCATTCGAAGTCGGCTTGTTCGCTTGTGAAGGTTGAAAAATACGTACACGCATACACACACACACACTCTGACAATTGTATTCAGTTAACTCAGTTCCCAGGTCCAAACGAATGAGGGAAACGCAAGGTGAAAGGGTCAGCGCAACTGAATTGTTGAACAAGTTGTTTGTGCGTGACTGCAGTGGCAAACTCTCGCGCGGTCGGTTGAAAGCAGCTGTGGGAAACCGGTTTGAGGGGGAGGTATCGTGAAGGAACCATGAATCAAACCGAGAACAGTGGAGTCACAGCTTGTGCAAACGTTAGTCGCAGGTACGTCGACAGGACGTCTCCCGTCGATATCACGAGCAAGAGATAGGTGTCTTCGTTGGCACCTGCCCTATCTTTGCTCCAGGTGCCCCCCTGCGAACAAGAGTTGGTTATAAAACCGTGAAAGAGGTGGCGGTGGAGAACCCTTTGCCCAGGGGTTGACACACACAAACAGCCGATTCCGGCGCAAGTGTGAAGGTGGAACTTTGTACAGAAAGCGCCAAAATTGGCGCTGCGAACAGACTAATAGCCACCTAAAAAGCCTTAGAAAGACAGACAAAGCAAACAAAACAAAAGCAGACTAAGAGGGCAAGAAAGAAAGATAGGGGAAGTTACGAGGCCCACTTAGTTAAACGAAAGTAGATCGCGAGCGGGACATTTGTCTTAAACCGCCCGGGTAGCTAGCAATAGGCTTGGAGAAACAGAAGGAAAGGCACCAACACACAAGTGTGTTGAGTGCGATTTCCTTCTGTTTCCCGAGTAGCGGGTGGGGTAGCAACGGAGGCCCAGGGGTAGGGAGGGGGAATGCATGATTAATTCATCCAGCCTGTGAATACTTAGCCGCACATGCACATGTGAATACTTAGCCGTCGAACATCTCAAAAAAGCAAGTGTTGCAAAACTGTCAGTTCCCGTGGTGAGGCTCGGCAGCCTTTGTGGCAGTTAATTCAGTGGTTGTGTCGGTGACTTCCGGTGGAATTCCTGTGAAAAGTGGTGAGGTCAGTTAGTGCTTGCACGATGAGACAGCGCCCCAATGACGGGGATCACACTCAGCACCCGAGTGGGACGGCTGAGCGAAACACACTCTGACACTTGTATTCAGTTAACTCAGTTCCCAGGTCCAAAGGAATGAGGGAAACGCAAGGTGAAAGGGTCAGCGCAACTGAATTGTTGAACAAGTTGTTTGTGCGTGACTGCAGTGGCAAACTCTCGCGCGGTCGGTTGAAAGCAGCTGTGGGAAACCGGTTTGAGGGGGAGGTATCGTGAAGGAACCATGAATCAAACCGAGAACAGTGGAGTCACAGCTTGTGCAAACGTTAGTCGCAGGTACGTCGACAGGACGTCTCCCGTCGATATCACGAGCAAGAGATAGGTGTCTTCGTTGGCACCTGCCCTATCTCTGCTCCAGGTGCCCCCTGCGAACAAGAGTTGGTTATAAAACCGTGAAAGAGGTGGCGGTGGAGAACCCTTTGCCCAGGGGTTGACACACACACACACACTGCAAATCGACATGTGGTGCAGTGAAAACGCATCGGATTGGTGTCACGAACAGGAACCCATGTCATTGCCCAGGAACTATCAGTCCTTGTGCAACCGACTGCATGTCATTGCCATGCGCCTCGAAGAGGGCAATGTGGATTTGGATGTGCTGCCACCCTTGGAAGCACAAAAATGCTTGAAGACCGCACCTCAGATGCCTTGGCTGATGGGCTGGTTCAGATGCAAGGGGGGATCCTAGGTGGGACTGACACCTACGACTTCAATTTATCCTTGTGCCTGCCACACTTGGCCGACAAGCCACTAGCTGTGAGACCACACCCAAGCGACCAGCAGGACAGCTTACAACTGCTGCACTCAGTACAAACTGGGCCCCACCAGGCTGTGACTTTAGATCAATTTGTCCTTTGGCACAACCTCAGGAGAGCTGGAGCCACTCGACTGGGATAGGGCAGGGTGGGTTTTGCTTTGGGGTTTAAGTTTTCCGTGGACCGCTACTTGCCTAGGTGGGGCCACTTTGCTGTTTGGAGTGACTGGGTCATGTCCTAGACAGCCGACTCGTAGCATTTTTGTAGCATGTTTGTCCATGGGTAAGCTGAGTTCCACAAGACAAGGCTGATCTGTCGGTAGAAGTTGTATGTTCATTCCAGACTGAGAGTGGCCAACACTGGCTGATATGCTTTAAAGGAGGCTACTTGATATAGAGCCTATCACAGACTGAAGATCAGTATTGTATATAGCTCAACCAGCCACCATGTATGTACGACTTCCCATACAAGGATATGCGCCAAACAAGTCCAGCTAAATCGCAGTTGCGCCCCAAACGGACGCGTCCCCCAGTTGTCCACCCGGTCCCTCGGATTCCGGTCTCTCCGAGGTCTCGGATCCTGAAAGGATGGTCGCTCCAGCGGGAGGATCGGAACACGGGGATGCCGGATCCCAGGCGAGCGAGCAAGGGTGGCCGGGGTGGGGCGGGCGGGAGGTGGCCGGGGATATGCGGGGTTTACTTGGTTGTCTCATAGACACACATAGACATAGATGCCTACATAGATGATCGTAGATGCCTTAATTTTGGTTGTGTGGCTTGGTGGACAGCGCAGAGAGAGAGAGAGGGAGAGGGAGATGGGGGAGGAGTTTCCAGGAGATGGATTTGAGGATGTTCGAGGTGTTATGTTCATTGATTTTCTACTTATTGTGCGGTGGTCAACTCATAAACATCCTCAAACACCTGTAAAACAACATGTGTACCTTTACTTTTTCCTCGAGGAGGCGGACCTTGGAGCAGTTCACGGCCCGTTGAGACGACCGTCTTCCCTTGCTTGCTGCAGTCCTTTGCCAGTAGACCGGGGCACAAAGAAAACTACACAGAACTCCAAGAGCCCTGGGAACCCTAAAGCCCCCGGGGGCCGGAGTCGTGCTGGGCCGGTGGAACAGAGTGGGTTGAGTTGATCCTGCTTTGTTGGAGAGGTGCAGCATTGATCCACCATTCTGTGTGTTGTTTCGACTCCCTTACTGTAGCAGCCTTAGCATCCTCCAAAGCCATGGAACCCATGGCATGGCCATTGGTGGAGGAAGACCTTCTTCCATCTTCTTCCGTCCATTTGCAAACCCTTTGGCCAATGTCGGAACCTTTAGAAAAACACATGTTTGCAGTTACGCCCACAGCAGTTACACAGTTTGCTAGACTGCCCAAGCAGTTGCAGACTGCCATGGCATGTCACACATGACTCACATGACATGCCCATACACTCCATGCGACTGCCATAGGACTGCCGTCCCATTGACCCTCCAGTCAACCACCCCTGGCCGTTTCTCGGCAGTCCTATGGCAGTCCCAGACGGGTTGTGTCTTGGTATTATGGTATGGTCCTGAGCACACACACTACGGACACTGATGCAGTTTTCCACACGCCAATCTAAGTGAAAAGCCTAAGAAGCCAGGACAGGTAGTAGGTCAGTAGGCTGGACACACACACACACACTTAGGATGGATGCTCCGCGGAGCTGCGCTTCAGGGATGTGCGGTGAGCATTAGCACTTTAGTTGAATACTTAGCACTTTGAATACTTGGCGCTTGACTTGATGGAACGGAATGAATGCAAAGGTCGGCCAAATAGAATGTTTCAACAATAATTGAATTGATTGAAGCGATGAACAAAAAGGCAGGTACATGAGAGTGATCAGCTCTCACTTCCCGTGCGTCAGGTAGCTTCGTTGGACATGGTCCCCGAACGCACGCCATTGTTCCCTGCTGCTGAAATCTGTACAGGAAAACAGTGGAATAGAATAGAATAGTGTAGGATAGTGCCCCTCGGAACGGGGTTTGACACACACTCACACACCTGCCGGATGTGGTTTTCCGAGCCAGGCGCTTGCTGCTCTATATCCGAGAGGATCAGCAGCTCGGCGGTCAGCAGAGTCCCAGCAGCTCCCAAACGTCCGACATGTTTGGAGACAAATTGTTTTCCGGGCCGAACGGTCGAAAAGCAGGAGACAAAACCCTAACTCTTTGAAACATCCATCATTGAACCCGAATGGTGTGGTGGTTGTCTGGGGGCCACATCCTGGGTTTTGTGAAGCTCTTCACGAGTGAAAAACCATGGGGAACTTTATCTGAAGGGGATTTCCTTTCACTATGCGGAGATCTGATTACCCATCTTACTTCGGGCACTGTGGGTACGGCAAAGTCCTGGGTCGCCTGGCTTTCTTGGAAACAAACTATGGCATAAGCATAGGTCATTGGGAGTCCAAGTGCCGCGAGAGTTTGGGAGTCCAACCGGAGCCAATTCGCTACAGTCCCTGTCCGGGGGCTCCATCAGCGTTCGCAAATCTCAAGCAAGTCAACGGAACAACTTTGGTTATCTACTGTGCTCGAAGTACAGTCAGACTGCTAGGAGCGTCAGACCTGCTTGTGATCATGTTGGCCAGCAGGAAGCTGAGAAACAAACAGGCAAACACCACACTCGTTCTACATCGATTGCTCAACCCTTTCAACCCACTTCCAGGGATCGGCCCTGCTTCGGCTGGCGGGTCCGTTCGAAATGCAAGCCATCTCGCGCCATGGGTGGTGTGAGCAATGGGAGAGCAAAATGGGAGAAGGATGCATGAGGCACCTCAAAGTGGTGATGAACTGCGTGTTGGCGTCATGGCCAGTATTCACTTGACATGAATGATGTCTTAGGATGTTTTGTTCCACTAAAACTTGCTACCATGGGACCATTTTCCACTTCCATGTTAGTGAGTCAGAGTGTATTAATTTCGATGTTACTATTTGTTTTTTCATGTTTTCTTCCATTGTGGTACACACTCGCAGACTAGAACATCGATAGTCTCAACATCACAACATGTTGTTTTTTTGAACATCAGACCTCGCTTTGCATCCAAGGTGCCCTGACCCGTTTGAGTGGCTTTGTCTCACTCCTTGGTGAGGATTTAAGTCGCGACTTGGCGTCCCCGGGATCGGACGGTGGCGATCAACGTGCTCGTTGTCAACGGGTGGTGAGCCGCCAGGAGCAGGTGCAGGAGCTACGGCAGCTCCTCAATGACGTCCGTGAGACCAGCCCGGAGGAACTGCAACAAATCCTCCGTGAGTCACGAGGAGAGAAGAAGGGGAGAGAGTCACCTGGAGACAAGGTACAAACTTTGGAGAGCGTGGCTCAGGACGGGGATGAACTGGCATCTTCAACTGTTGTTTGTTCTTTAGATTATATATAGGGACTTACTCTAACAGATATCATACAATGAATGCAATGGTTCTTGCCTTGGGTCAGGTCTCTCTCTCTCTCTCTATATATATATCATGCTTATTATGGATCCTTGAAATGTTTTTTGGGTACATCCTATGAGGGATGGTTTGGTTCCACCTTCCATCCCCCTCCTCAATTCAGATCCACCATCCCACCTCCTCAACCGTGAAACCGGCTCTAGGAGTTGCATGATGCCATCCGCAAGAATGTGCGCCTGGCCAGACGCGAAGCTGTGCTGGAAGCCTACTGCGAGGAGCAACAGAAAGCTCTTCGAAGCGTCGAATCCTCCGAGTCTCGCCTCAAACGAGACCTGGCGGCACAGCAAGCTCAACACAAAGACACCGCTGCAGAGATGGAGATGCTTGTGCAGTCGAAGAAGGCTGCTGAACGAGAAGCATTGGAGCTGAAGGTGTCCTGGAAGAAGGACAGGATGGAACTCCATCAGTTGCAGTGTGAGCTGCAAAAGGCAGCTTCCAGTGTGGCCACATTGGAAGCACACAAGTTCAGCGACCAAGTTCACCGACTACCCACTTTGGTTAGAACCTCCGAGGCAGAGGCACAGGAGGCCCGAAGTGGATAAAGTATTGGCTAAGAAACCTGATCGCCCTTCTACTGTAGATTGTTGGGCAGGAGCACAAGAAATGGAAAAATGGGCCCATGTGTACAGAACAAAGGTTTTGAGAAGGTCCAGTTGCCATGCTGTTTTTCCTCCACCATTAGTAGTCTAATATACATGAAGCTTACAATTCATGTACTTGTGATGGCCTGAGCCTCTCAGAGGTTGTCCAAAGGAAGATCTTCCAGGAGCGGTGCGTAGAACTTCAGGCCAAGCTGGACAAATCCAGGGTGACCGTCTACGAGAAGGGACGAGAGTTGGAAATGCTAAGGATCCAGTTCGAGGAACAGAGAAGGCAGCTCTTGGACCAAGATGAACAGCAACAAAGCTTTGAGAAGGAGAAACAACTTCTCCAAGACAAGATCATTTCCCTCCTTGAAACACAGATCGGTGAGTCCTATGGAGCTGATGCTGGGAGCTACAGTGACACCCCCTTGCTGTCTCAGACACAGCAACAGCTGGCCGAAGTCGAGTTGAGGCACGAGGAGTTGGAGCGTCACTACGCAGTGGCCAACGCCGCAAAGGACGGCTTGGCCAAGCACTGTAGTGTGTTACAAGGGAAGCTTGAGGAACTTCAGGAAGCTCTTGAGGAGAAGGCTAAGATCCAAGATCATCATACTTCCAAACATGCCAGCCTTGAGGAACGCTTGGCTTTAGCCAATCAGCGAGTTCAAGACCTTCACCATGAGAACAGCGCCTTTCACCAGCAGTTTTCGGATTTGGTGGATGAAAAGCAGCGTCACGAAGAGCACTTCTTGGCGAGAGCTGCTGTGGCTGAATCTTCGGTCGCAGAGCAAGATCGCCGCTTGAAGGATTTGAAAGAGAAGTACCTTCTGGTCGAGAAGTGTGGCTTGGAACTCCTTCCAAGAGCTGGTGCTTTGCCTGGCACACTGCCACCAGGATTTCTTTAAAATGTTGGGTTTTGTTGTTCATACTGAAACCTTTGGTGAGAAATGGAATCTGTACACCCTCACACTAACAGTTTTCCACTGTCAGGAGGGTTTGGAAGACTATTGTCAACATGTTGTCAACTATAGTCCAGAGCGGCATGCCGGGAGTGTGTTTATAGGCCTGCCCAGTCAGTAGGCAACCTTTCTTTTCCAGGGAAGCTGAGGGATTTTAGATGTTCTTGGTACCGGTCCCTCACGGCCAAGGCAAGTCTTGATGACAGAACTTGACAAGAGCATTTCACACTTCATCAGCAGCAGCGAAGCGTCAGGAGCGGAGATCTTTTGTATTGCGCTGAAGAGTTCTGCACATGTGCATCATTACACATATCATTGCCATGGGTGATGTGGTCCACCGTTTTTGGATGTTTTTGGGGACCCGCAGGCTTGGGCCTCTTGAAGGCACACATTGAACACAAACTAAAGAGTTCAACCAACATGTTCAACCTAACAGTTGGATAGACACATTGGATCGGGTGCCCGAAACGCAAGTCTCCTTTCAAGTATTCACTATCGACAGCCCCTGCTTGGGCAGACAACCTATACATAAGAGATTCGTTCTTGAGTTGTACCTTCCAGGAGATGGCATGGTGCTCACTGAAATGGTGTGCCACCTGCAGAAAGTTGCCACGGAATCGGCTGCCGAGGCCGCGAAGCAAAGGGCAGAAGTGGGAGCGGCTCGCAAAAAAAGGGGGGTTTATGACGAGACGGGGCCCGGAGTAGAACACTCGCGCTGCAGCTTTTTGATGAGTTTCCCCTGCATATATATAAACGATAAAATTTGAGGAGTTTGGGATATTTTGTTGTAAGCCGAGCTCTAAGGAACTGATGGAGGAATGTCACAAGGACCGCCAGAGTCGCCTCCAGTTGGAGGCCGCGGCTGAAGCCCCTGAAGCCCGTCACGCAGCACATGTTGCCCAGCTGCCGATCGAGTGGTCTAGTCCAGGTTTGGAGGAGAGCGAGCCGGAAAGTATCCCTGAGGAATATGCCGCCATCATTGCACGAGTTGTCCTGCATGGGTGGGGCGCAGTGGAATGGGGTGGGAATTTCACCTTGCTCCACTGGGCTGCCATGCAGAAGCGCCACCAGCTTTGCCGAGCCCTTCTGGAGCTGCGCGCCGATCCGTCCGTCAAGGATGATGATGGGATGACCGCTGCAGATTATGCCGCAGAGAAAGGCAGTCGAGAAATCCTGTTCACATTGGAAAATGCTCTTCCACCAACTCGTGCCCCACAGCACGCGCCGATTCACGCGCCCGCAGCCAATGAAGCGCGTTTGAGGCCAGGACATTCTGCACCTGCTACAAAGGCAGCCGAGATGTTCGCCAGACTTGCAGAGAGGAGGTGACTGTAAGTAGTGGATGCTTTCCCCCCTAATGCAAATCCTCAAAGCAGATGGCGCCGCCTGCAGCGAAGAGAGAGAGCAAAAAAAATGGCTGCACTGTGCCGGTCGGCTTTATTTTAAGACTCAAAACCAGCACTACCTTCTGTCACGAGGTCTCACCGCTTGGTTGAACAGAGAAGAGGCTTAAGTTAGATAAGAGGGTTTCACTGTAACTGTTAACATAATAGGCCATAACGCTCAAAGAAGCATAAAGAAGCTTTGTCCGCGCATTTGCAGCCTTGCCATGAGTCTTAGGACTGTGGATTTGGACGGCGCCCTGAACGAAGCACGAAAAGTGGTTCCTTGGTGTTTCTTCAGCGTCAAGCAGGGCAGTCGTTCTTGGCGTCGAGCGGATGTGGAGTTATAGGCAGGGTTTTTGGGAAAGCACATGCAGATTCCGAAGCTCTCCCTAAACCCTAACCTCAGCTTTGCAAACAGGTGCCAAAACAACATGTGCACACATGGGTCCATTACCTCAGCGTGCCGCGCTGGCCCGTTCACGCTGAGGCAAAGTTTAGTGGGGATCTTTGGGAGCGTCTCAATGGACAGGGACATGGCCGTTCCAAAGACGCTTCACGAGGAGAATCTCAGAAAACTCGAGAAAAGCGTGCCTCGGTGAAGAAACATGAAGTGAACTGAGGGAACTGAGGGATGGCATAGTGGGCCTTCTGCAGTCACTTTGGGATCCATTACAGAACTTGGATTTGTGCCATCGCTGTGGACCCATTTGGAATTAGTGACTTTGGTGATGCCCTTAGGGCCCTTAGTGTAGTGTAGATGCATGTCCATGTGGGTCCATGTTTGTCGTGTGGATATGTAGAGAGTGTCCGTCGAGGTTTCTGTCCAGCCACCAGTAACGTTTTGGTTGAACCCCCTTCCACACCAGAACGCCGAGGAGAAGCCATGGAGCTGGCTAGAGGGCAACTGCAGAAAGCCGAGGAAAAGCGAAAAGCTCCTGGGCCCATCCAGCAAAAGGTCCTTGGACAAACGTTCCTCTATGCTTTGGGTGACCGGATGTTACAAATTCATCCCTACGAATTCAATTCCTGGAGCAATGATGTGGTGGCTTCAGTGGTCAATGTATGAAATCATGCCATGCATGGATAGTCAGTGTGTGTAGTTGTCACAGTTATCATAGGGCTGAGGGAGGGGGGACCCTTAAAGAGGCGAGACAAGCGCATAGGCTGCTCGTCCATGGACGTAGACAACGACGCTTTGCAGACTAGAATTGCTTTGGACAGGTTCAATATGGTTCAATGAGCGCACCATATTGGTTCTTGCAATATTTTACCATAAATTCCTATACATTCCTATATGTCCTTCCTTGTGGCTGGGTGCGCAGGGGCCACTCTGAATGCATTCAGCTGAGGCTTTCGTCGCACAGGCAGCCGGCGAGTTGAACCAGGCTGAGTTGATTCAGCTGATCACCCTGGCGGCGAACATGGAAGAACCTGATGTCAACTCATGTCCATTACAGCGACTGGAGCGAGCCCAGTTCGTGTGTGTGTGTGTGGGTTCGTGTCGGACGAAGTCAAGCCCGGAAAGTGTGCCGACCGGTCCGACCGACTTGACTGATGTTGGGATGAACAGGTGCTAAGAAGGGAACAGGAGGCGGTTGAAGGTCAACGGCTGAGACGGGACCGCTGAAAAGGCTTGGCTCGGTAGGGGGTGCAACCCAGTTGCGGTGGCGGATATCTAGAGAGAGAGAGAGAGAGCCAAAAACACACAAGTTGGGTCGATTTTAGAACAAGCCAGATGCCCTTCATTTTGACGAGTGCGTGAATATCGGAAGATTTACCCCGTGAATGGTGGAAGAGCCCAGTCAACCCGAATGTGTCCACCTGAACGATTGTCCAGAACCCCACTTGCTTCCGACCACATGAGCTCGCTGAAGCATAGCGAGCTGCCGGCAGGCTCCAGATGAGGCGCGCACCCAAGACTATCTTTGGCAGCTCCGCAGCGAATGGCGTAGCTGCGAGCAAAGCTGTAGCTTGGCCACGAGGAAAGGACGCACCGGGTTCGTCAAGGGGATGAGGAACTCGGGCCTTCGGCGTCGATTCAACAAGAACATGCCCATGATTCCATTTGGCCACGAGTATCAGTATCCCAATGTTTGAATGTAGAAGTGGTGAAGCCTACGAAAGCAGAAGTGCAACGCAAGGGGGTTAAATATAACTATATAGTGGGAAGTTGCATAAGCATCGGACTTGACATTCTACTCACCTGTGCAAAACACACGGCACCGACATAAAGCCATCCAAACAGCAAACTCCTCTTCGGGCTGAGGCCGGGACGCCCGGAGTTTGTTGGTGCTGCGGAGCATCGAGTGGTCCTTGCAGCGTTCGGCTGAAGAGCTGGAGAAGGATTTGCAACAGACCAGTGGCTCGGCTCGATGGTGATCTTGGGCCATCGCCGTGGAGGGAAATGGGAACACAGTTTTTTTTGGAACTGGGGAAAGGGCTTCAGCAGTGAATGCCAACGGATGGGGAAGGGGCGGGTGCCAAGACCTAGGCAATGAACGAAGGACATGTGCAGGATCCATATTTCAGGAGCTGAAATCACACCATGTCAATGACATCAATTTTATCTCAAGCAGATATAGCGAAGTGGATTGAAGGACGTCGTTGACATAGACGCCGTACTGCAGGTTCCAATCTTCATGGACCCAAAGCCATGGGTTTACAGGAGCTAAATGCTTCAGTGGCCATGGTGATTTCAATTCACCAGGCTCCCTTCTGGAAGAGCATGATGGTCAACTGGTGTCGACAGACAAGCTTGTACATAAGATGGCAACTGCCCAGTTCACACACTACCTCCCCCGAGCATCACCAAGCTTAAGCGCGGGGCACGTTGATGAGAGCTTCCTCCTGGAGGATTCGAAAGCATTATCCCCAACATTATACAGTTGATGCAGATACCACTTGACGATCATCAGGTCACCACTTACAGTAGATGGTGCAGTACAGCTTGTAATATTGTAATGGCTCGAGATATGTGGGAAACCATTTCTGTTTGCAGAGACGGCATGTTCTTGTTGCTTGGAGGCCGGCAGGTGTAGAGTCATGCTCAACTGCTTGGCCGAGAGTGTTCCGCACAAAAGCCGAAACCGCCTGTCCAATGTGGTGGTTTGAATGCCAAACAATTCCATGGAGCTTGGTCTTATGTTTTTGCTTCTAGGACAGGAAGCAAAGCCGCTCAACAGGTGGTGACCTTGACTAATCAGATCTCAGCTGCTGTTGTTTGTTGCATGTGTGTGGCAAGTGTCCAGGTTGGTCCCACGATGGCCGTTCCCCTTCGACAGTCGGTCCCAGGCATGGCGGATTGGGCAGTGGCGGGGCCACAGCAGAAGATGCAGGTCGCCGAGCTGGCGCTCATCGAGAAGCAGGTCCCGGCCGCGAGACGGGACGGGACGCGAAACTGCCCGGCCGCACCAACGGTCGTGTCGCATGACGCATCGGTCGTGTCGGCGTGGGAAGAGCAGATGGATGGTGGATCTGGGTCCCAAGTGTTTGATGCAACAAATGCCCTTGTGTTCCCGACAGAAACGATGAATTTGAGAGATGGTGTATAGATGATATTGTGTCAGCTGGCAGCTAGCTGGCATCAAACACCGCCCTTAAAATAATGCAAAGCCAGCGGGCGGCTTGTCATTGTTTGAGTGGTCGGTTGTGCCACCCTTGCAGAAAAGAGGCAACCGTATGGCACCTATGGGCAGGCAAGTTTTATTTACCAACTTTTTGGAGGTATATCACACGCATGCAGCCGCATGCATTGGTTTTCATGCTGTTTTGATGCACAACCTTGAAGTGCCAATCCTGGAAGTTATGGCAAGTTACCGCGTCAAAGTATGGACCATGATGGTAGTGGAGGGGACCGTGCGGATGTTGGGAATGTCTTGCTAGAAGCATTCCGACGGTGTTTTGCGTGCTTTCCAGCGGTCGCCGTGGCTCAAGTGGCCGACGGAAGAACCACCGCGGTGAGTCGCGCAAGCACGCCAGGCAGCCTCCTACCAAGAGAAAGCCGCAGAGCATCTTGAGGCGGGCATGCTTCCCTACGGCGCAAAGCTCCAGTTCCGCTGGGATTTGCTGGGTTACAAGAGTCAATCAGCACTGTGCCACGGTTGTGCAGAAGTGACAGCATGGGTGTGGCTGTGGATCCGACGTGCGAAGCATATCAAAAAATCCATCCCAGACTTCTTTGATCGCATATCTAAGTCCACCAAAAGGTCTCAAGTTGTTCCATCATGTTGGCTCCAGCCACTGGCAGGCCTAAACAACTTGGCAAAATACATGTCACTCGACTCCCCCAGGTCGCTCGACTCCCACAGATCTCGAGATCCGGGTCAGGAGTTGGAAGTTCTCGAGATGGACTGCACCAAGTTTGCCACACGGCTAGGCCTCAAGGTGCAGGCACGGCCTTGTCCCGTGAAACACCCTGGTGAGCAGAAAAAAAACATATGGACATGTGCGGACGAAGCTGGGAGGCAGCAGATAAGGGTAGGATGTTCTCTTGATTTGGGGGGGACGGATTAGTTGAATAAATCTCAATCCTGTCATGTTAAAGGAGAGACTCCTTGGTCTTGTTTTGCTAGTTTGGGGTGACCGGTATTCAAGACCGGTCAGTAGAAGCCTGACTGGAGCGAATGAGATCTATATAAAGAGCTTATGCACAAACAAGAAGACGGTATGTATCAATCGTATTCAATCATGTTTTGTCTAAGTGCTTTAGACTTACCGTAGTTGAGTTGTTTTGCAATCACAAGACCTGAAACTCGACCTTTGGAAGAGGTTGACTCGGTGACCATGGTGCCATGGTTCTTCGGTGTGTTCTTCACAGCTGACCATGTGGCTTGACCTTCCAGGAAGAGAGCCACGACTTCAACTCTTCGGTCCGAAGGCGCCGGACGTGACGTGACAGCGTCGTGACGTGACGTCGCGTCGTGGAAGGCGGTACGGCAGGCGGAGGGCACCGTGGTGTTCACCCTCCGTCAGTTGGCACAGGCAGTCAGTTGTCACCAGCTTTTCTCAATGCCTGTTGTGAACAAGTGCGAGGTTGGATAGTCTTTGTGGATCTTCTTCTTGTTTTCCTGTTGGTGCCTTGGTGGGCCATTTTGGACCCCCACGTCTCCAGGTTTGCTTCTGGTTGTTACCCCTCTCTTAACCAAGTCAGCATGGCTCATGCTGGTTCCACGTGAGCAATGGTCCAAAGGGAGATGGCTAGTCGGCTAGTCCGGCTAGTCCTTTGGTGTGGTAAATGGATGACACCCTGCCTGCCTAGCTGATCCTAGCTGCGTGAAGATGGGATGCAAAGCTCCCGCGATGTGTGCAGATTCAACGACAACGTCGGGGAGCTGACTTGTGTCCGAACAACTTGTTACACTCACGATCATACTAAAGTGCCTAATGCCGCTGCCTATTAGTTGTTATTACCTAGCACAGTGCCGCTTGGCACAGCTTCACGCGCAGGGGGGACTTGGTGTGTGACCTTCCAGTTCATCATGCTTGGGGGGGTCGAACACCAAACGCCGCATCTTTCGCGTCAGGGTTCTCAAATGTTCTCCAGTATGGCAGGATGCCATGATACCCCAGGAGCATCCAGGAGCATTTTCCTGGACCGCTCACGTGACCGGGGAAGACCCCTCTTTCGCCTCAGGGTGATGAGCCAAATGCAAAGAGCCATGGAGAGGACGAAGTCCGGGTGGCGAAGCAGCGAAGAGTGCGGGGGGGTCGGTGGCCATGTCTGACCTCCGCTGAAGGGATTCGGCGCCTTTCCGTGAGACATGGAGCTTCTTTCCCGTGATTTAACTTGGGTTTTGGCCGAAGTCCAACATCATGTTTCCCTTCAGCATGTGACGCAGTTTGATCCCTGGGATGGCAGTGGGAGAGGTGATTCTTGATCTGAACTGAAGCTATATAACTGCGGGAAGCCATGCCGCACTGAGACTGACCAAGGACGTCTCTGCTTCGGCCACCGCTTCGGCCAAACCGGACGGGACGGCCCTCGCCGACCTCCGGGGCGTTCGGTTTCTGGCGTCCGAGGTTGGAGTTTTACACCAACGGCGTCCAACTCCTTTGGCAGGACGCGCGAGACGCGAATGAGTTCCGCGTCGGTCCACCGAAACGAGGGGCGAAAGGGACGGGTCGCTTGCGAGGTGGTCGACAGCTCTTTGACTCCAGAGAGATTGGCGACAGTTTGATGTCCTTTGTGTGGTGAATTTGGATGAGTGCTAGTCTAATTGAGCCGCGCTAAGAACATAGGCAGATGCCACACGTTTTGAGCACAGCTCAATTGTGGGCAGATCCTCAGGGCTGAATCGAATTTTAGGGGATTCATCACCCACCTGTCTCGCACCATTGGGATCATGTGCACCCCCCCCAAGCAAGTGTCGGCCGCTTGCCTTTGCAGGACGTGCAATATGCCTGGCGATTAGCAAGCTTTCCCTTTGCTTGGCAAAGTTTTTGTTTCATACAGCTGGATGACTTGCACAACTCACAGAAACTTTGTTCATTCTGTTACTGTTTTGAATAGGCTGGACTGGGCTGTTTCCTCTAATCCACGAGGAGCTGTTTCTACCAGGCTTTCGTCTTCGGAGGTCCGGTGGGCCTGGGAGGCCCATGGCCAGGTGAGTCACCACCATACAGTTCAATCACTGGAGCAATTGGAGACTTACTAAAGAACTCTTCACACCATGCATTCGTTAATTTATATGTTTCCCCTGTGCTGTGCTGGCCACGACCCCCTGTGGACCATGGTAGAAGGGCGGGGACAGATCAATGAGCTGTTCGAGCCACATGCTAACCGTGGTTACATCCGCCAGCTCGGCCGGGTGCAATCCGGCGCTATCCGGAGCTGCTGTCCACTCACTCAGGTGAGTAAGGCCGCTTTCTCCAACTACACCTTGAAGGCTTGGGAAGTGCGAACCATGCAGCGAACCGTGAAGGATTTGCTGACCTTGCAACTTGGCAAAAACGGTGAAGACTGACATGGACATCGGATTGTGCATCGGACATCATGTGTTGAAGACACACATCCCGAATAAAGCTACAGTAAGTGTTGTTGTATGTTTATTTCGTACTAATGCAGCTCACGGACTGAAGTCTCCACACGAGACTTCCCTGGATCTATCGCCCAGACAGTCTTGAAAGCCGCGCGGTGAAACACCGCTTTTCCTCCGATGTTGGAGGATTCCCTTCTTGATCATCCTGATCATCCCGCTGTCGCCTGTGGGTCATGTCTTGGTTTTCTCCTTCTTTCAGCGCCGCGACTGAAGAGGACCGAAGACACGAAGAGGGCGCGAGCCCGGTGGGTTTGGGTTCGGGAGCTGGATGAGCTGGTGAGGATGGTCAGATGAGAGTTCGAGTTCAACTTGCCTAGTTAGTCACACCAGCAGTCACAAAGGGGTGCCTATTGGAGGAAATGGGTGCCCATTATCCATTCACTTAGAGACTAAACATCATCCCTTTGTGACTGCTGGCAGTTCAACTTGCGCTAGGATCATCCTCAAGACTCAAGACTGCCCAGGACTAACCTGAAGAGAAGGCTAGAGTCTAGAATGTTGACCTGGTTGTCGATGGCTTTGTGTCAACGTTGGATAAGGTGGTGCTTGTGACAGGTCCCTCTGCCGTGATAATGTGAAATAACATGGCATCTAAAAGCAGGTATGCAACGTCAGGCGTTTCATGGTGTTTCTTTCCGAGCAACATGTTCATCCATTTTCCCAAGTTGCTATATAAGTCGTGTGCATACAGTATACATATATATATATATTCAAATTCATATATGCAAATATGTACACCACGGTCCATATTTGTTGAACTTGGGTAAAATTTCCAGCTTTATCCGACCAAAGTCATAGACCTCTTTGAATCGAGCTGCGGTTAAGCCAGATTCGGACACAGAAACTGTTGAACGCTGGACTCTTGAATTGTGCGCGCACAGAATGACAAGTTCCCTACATTGACTGAACAGGATGAAACCACTCTGTGACGTCCTAAGGAAGAACTTTCCGGAGTTCTTTCCCTCGTCCTTCACCGAGCAACGGCAGAACGTCACCAAGCTGTACCGCGACATTGCGCCACTTGGGGTCGAACATCCTCGTCCAAGCGAAGCGAGGTGAAGCCTCGTCGTCCCAACGGATGACGCATGGAGGACGCAACGACCGGAATCATTTGGACATATTTGGACTTGAAGCTAGTAGAAACAAGTGCCACGCTTCTAGTAACAAAGTGCCTTACTAGTAGTAACAAGAAGCTAGTAGTAACAAGTGCCACGCTTCTCGTATGATTGACATGAAACCGAAGGACATGAGGGGGGAACATTCTGATCCCAAACAAGTCGTCCATCGGAGCAAGCGGGGCTTCATGCCGCCCTTCCAGGACACATCCTTGATAGAAATGGAGTCCTGTTCATACCCTTATACAGACAATTTAGCATCAAAATGCATTCGATCTATAGTATATCAAGGGAGAGTTCGTTTCTTTGTTTTTGACCATGAATCACCTTTTTCTTCATCATGAGTCGGATTTGAATTTAGCATGCAGGGACAATGCAGTGAGCTGAGAACCTGAATAACCCCAGCTTTCATGGCGTTTTCGTGCATTCACACATTCGGGACGGCTTCAATAACTACGGCTTTGGCCACAGGCAAGAGGTCCCTGACCGTGAGCTTGTTTTGGTGGGCCAGGCTTGCGGCCGGTGTTTGTTGAGTGTGCAATCCCAGTCGAATGAGGGTTATTCCTCAGTTTGTTTTCGATAATTCTGGGTCTTTGGTGGCACCAGTTTTTGTGTGGGCCATTTACTGTAAGATGTTGCGGGACAAAAACATTTCAGCTTCAGCGGACTGCCTTTCGGGAGATTGGAGGTTGAGGTTGTCTCAATGGTTATTTAGAGGTAGCAAGGAATCATCAAATTGTATCAGGAACATGCACACGGATTCACATGATTGTCCTGGTATTTGGAGTGACACTTAGAACATCTTAGAACCATTGGGCTTTTGTCGTGCGCTTGTTACTTGCCCAAATTGTTTCCAGCAAGTGACCACCAGGCACCACAGAGAGCTGGGTGTTGTTTCCATCCACGTGTCGGTCTTTGGTGGAGCTGGGGATTGACCCCCCTAGTAGCGTCCTTGCTCTAGTAGTAAGGCCAGGAGCCCCTAGTAGCAGCGTCTCTCATGTTTCATGGGCGAGAATGGCCTAAGCCTCGTGAGGGACTTCTGAAGAGCGCCCCTCGGAGCTGACTGAGGCCTGATGAAGCGGTGGAAGGCGACCGAGAGCCGCGGCAATAGCAAACCCACGGTCCTAGCCTGTCAGTTACCATCTAAAATCTAAAAGGAAGATGAGCATATATGACGTCCAAACACTTCAACTTAGGAACTGAAAGGCTGGGAATTCAATAGATTGAATTGCTGTAGATCTGATCTGAGCAGATGATGGATTGCAGACATTGGTTGCGATTTCCATTCTCTCCGTGGAGAAGATGGGCGATTGGCGGTTGAGACTTGGAGGGCAGTTTTCTGCGGCTGAGATGCCCATGGTTTGACTCACCTAGGAAGGGATACATAATGATCAGTGTGTTAGTCCATGTGCCAGGACTGTGACAAAAATGCATTTGCAGAGGAAATGGTGTTACACCGAGCGCGGCCCCATACTGCCCTTGGCACGTTTGTCACTCAGATTAGATCTCCAATCCCTGCATTTCCGAGTGCGTTGAGATCAAATTCTCCAGGATCCTCGCCTTTTATCTTATTAACCTTCGATGACTGCATACCACGTCAACATGTTTACCAGCATGTGGGACTAGTCAAGTTTGCCACAGGGAACTGGACATTTTTGTGGAACTGGATGTCGCTTGGGTTGGGATCCTTGCTGTGAACCTATTTATCACCGGGACAGCTGATCCACCGATAGCCTTCAGCGACTCAAGTCCCTCAAACGGTGTCCGATCATCTCACCCGGCGTCGCGTGAGAAGGCCTCGTGCGATTGACTTTCCTAAGAAATCCAAGCCGGGTGGCATTCCTTCAGAACTGGCATTGCCTCAGCGGTATGCTTTTCATGTTGAAACATCAGTGTTGTTCACAAAAGCCGGGCATTGGAGGCAAAAAGAGAAGAGCAGAGCCAGCAGAGCGGCATGGCCAACCCTAAAAGGATAATCATTTGAAAGGGCCCTGTCCTTTCCCATACATTGCGTCCAGTCACAAATCCAAAAAGAAGGCCCCCTGTGATCCATCATCTATTGGGCCTCGTATTGGCTCGAACAACCTAGATCAATATTTGGGATTCTTTAGTATAATAGTATATACAATAATAGCATAGTCTAGTATATATATATATATTATGTATATATTATATATATCACAGTTTTATATGTTTTCAAGCTTCTATGGCTGACTGAGTTTCGACATGTTTCTCATTTCAACTGAAGACCCAGTCTCCACTCTCCACGTTTTTTTTGTGTGTTATTTTGTTGAATGTGAATGACCCAGTTAATGCCCATTCCGTGGCAGGAGGTGCTATTAAGTTTGGCACTTGCATCGATGAGGGTAGGGTAGAGGCTAGAGCAGCATATGCACAGAGAAGCTGAGGCCTGGTCGTCTTGAACTAGCATAGATCTTAGATCGCACGTTCTTTTTAATCATCATGTTGGGGCAAGTCCACGTATTTTAACCTTTCCAGGATGTTGCCACAGTAAAATTTGCCCGCTCGATTCAATTCACCCACAATTAATCGCGGTCAGTTGTGTTGAAATGTCAGGTCTTTGTTGGTCCTTCGCTTGTTCTGTTGTGAATTGTTCGTCCCCAGCATTTGTCCTCAGTTCCATTTTCCTTTGGCTTTGCCTTTCGTTTGTTTTCTTGTTCCCCTGTTCTTCCCTTCTCAGAAATTGTAAGTATAGCGCTCCCCTCTACTTTTCCCTTTGGGTCCTCCTCCTCCCCCTCTCTTGTTGAAGACTCAGCACTGAACAGTGGAATTGATCGCATTCAGCTTCTGTTTGACCTTCCTGATGTTGATGTTTGGCGCGATATTTCTTCCATGAAAGTGCTGGATTCCAGCCGCACACAGCCGGACATGCACAGATGAGTTCCTTTCATGTTCACCAGTGGCGCCGGGTGAGAGTGGAGGTGTTTGAGGCGCCTTTCCCCATCCCTTTGACCGATGGGGGTCACTTGGGCCTGGGACACCGCACCGTGAATTGTGATTCTCAGCCACGCCCCGAACGAGCCGAGAAAAAACCTCATGGGTATGCTCCATTTCCAGTGGAGGAAGAGATTTGTTTGTGTTCTAGATCATCCTTGCAAATTCGGATGTTTCTTGGGGGGGATGAGGATGAGGGTGGCAGACATAGGCAATGTTTACAGGCGTGTGGTTAAACATGCTTTGGTCTGGATTTAGAGGGTTCGTTGTAAGACCCACAGAGAGGCGTAGGCGTAGGACAGATCGCAGAGGCCCTAGGCCCTAGAATTCTGTTGTGCGAGGAGTTCCAACAGAGTTGGCAGGACGTCCATTTCAGGAGTTGAGGCTCAAGCATGGCGTGGCAGACCGTGTAGCGGGCTCGGCATCCTATACGATGCCTCTACCCCACCACTTGCAGCAAAGGGTTTGGCTACAACAACCAAGCCTGTGAGCCTTTAGCTGGAGCTACTCAAGCGAGTTATATGAGTTCTGATATTTTGGACTCGTACTCGAACTGAACGTGCTTTAAGTCTAGCACTAGAATACGCTTGGCCTCGTGAGCCCCACCGAGGAATGACATGTGGGTGCCGGTGCCATTCACTTGCATCCAAAATGGTCCACAAAGCGGAACTGATCAGGGAAAACTGAAGTGTGGTGGAGCTGAGAAGGTGCGAAGTATCGAAGGTGACAGCAGGATGGTGGCCCACGAGGTCGCTCAGCTGTAGGAAGGTAGGTTTGGGTGTTGACTCAGCTGGAACTTGGAGCTTCGGACCTTGAAGCTTCGATGTCGCGCGTGTGTAGCATTGAACAAAAAGCATAGAGTTGTTCTCAGAGTGCCAGATCAGTTGAGGCTGTTGGGTGCATGGTGCAGCGGATCAAGATGGATGAGTTTACATATACCGTACCCAAATAATCCACACCCCTGGCCTGGTTGAAGGCTACTCAAAGACCAGAGTTTGGAGGGAACATTGTTGTTTAGGTTTTAAATCAAAACTGGCAAAGGATCATTTGGGTAGCTTTAAAGTGCTTGCACCAGAACCCCCCCCTGAGTCCTGAGTCACCTTTGGGGCTTTATCCTTGGCATGATTCTCAGATGACCTTGGAATGCTAGGTGCTGTGAGTGGTGAGGTTTGTGCGGTTCGGCAGGGTGCTGCCAGCTAGGCCAGCGGCACCTTCAACGATAGAAAAGCTTGCTATGCAGAGCTTTGACCATTGAGTGTTTAAACATCTCGGTGTGCATGACGAGAACGCCAAAAGTGCTTGGGATTAAGCCCAAAGGCCGGATCATTCAAAAGGGTTCGTACTTGCCAGCGTTTGCTTGCTAAAGGATGCCCTTGTTGGGCGCACTTCTGGAAAATCACCTCCTCGACCGGCAGATGCCGTACATTTCTGAGGGAGATGGATCGGCAGGCCTCACATGGTGAGGAGGCGAAAGACTCTGTGGCTGCGAAAGTGGTGAGCTCAATGCATATCTGTAAGTCTTAAGGCAACTGAAGTTGAAGAAGCTGACTTCGGAAAGCTTCCCAAAGCCCGGCCCTACCTGAGCAAGATGGGAAGAAAAACAAAAGTAGACTCGTAGACCACTTGGGACTTGTTTTTCCTAGTGCGTATCCCAGAAATAGTCAACAGATGATTGACGTGGTGGGTGACGGCACAGGCAAGGTGCCCTTCTAAGAGGCATACAGCTGCACAGTCCTTCAATGAGTGTGGCGTGGCATGTGTGGATAGAGTGATCCAGTTGTGAGATAATTGTGGCAAGTCAGCGTTAATGTCTCTTGTCGGGCCAAATGTTCCGCAGAGTCCTTTGCCCATTGCGGGCATTTTCATCACCCTTCTGACCGGGCGGGTGGGCCCTGGTGCCTGGGACGAGCCAACGAAAAGCTCCTGCGTGGAGCAACGATTGCAAGTTCATGAACTCTCCAAGGTCAGACATGGCAAAAACCAGGAGGGAGACGACATTTCTAGAGTCTAGACTCAGCAATGGCCTCCAACCTAAAGCAATGGGCTCCAACCTACTACGATGGCCTCCATGCCTTTGCAATGCTCGTCTCCGTGACCAGGGGCTAGCACAATGGTCACGGCTCTCGATTGGCCAATGCTTCGAAAGGAACTGGTCCACCCAGAGACCAGCGGAAACGCCGAAGATAAAGTAAAAACATCCCTGGTGGAGCTTTGTCATGTTGCAGATGTAGGTTTGGGGAAAAGGATTCGGACCGCAGTGTAGGCGATTTGGGTTTGGCAGGTGCATCAACTTTCTTCATTCCAAGATATAGATATATAGTGGTTTGGATGCAGACATATTGTGAGTGTGATTGCGTGAGAGGCAGACCTTCCAAATATTGAGACACCAGACCATCAATACCAGGCCCGTCAAGTCCCTTTAGGCTACCTTGGTGTGCAGTGTAGGCCATCAACTACTATCACCGCGCGCTGAACTTGGATCGGAACGACGTCTTCAGCGCCGAGATGTTAAACTATGCGATCACCGAGGCCGGTTTATTGGGGGACGGCCCTCGTCCTCGAACCGCGGTGTGGTCAGAGTCCAGTGGGGGATTTGGACGGCTTCTTGGTTGAGAGGCCCGCAACATAATATCCCTACACCTCCCTTCAACCCCACCCCAAACGCCTTCTCAGAAGGTACTTGGAAGCGTTTTTGGGGTATTGAGAGGGCTGGAAGGAGGAACTGTGATTCTTGCCAATGATCGCTGACTAATTTAGGTGAGTCAACTGCTACTTCTGACCGCAGCAGTGACCACAGCATCCTCCCTGCCGCTCGATGTGGTGCAGGCATTGGATCGAGGAAATGGCCTTTGAAAGGCCGCCGTTCGAGGAGGACAGCACAGCTGTGCCGAGCGATTGTCTTCGGCTCATCTCATGTGGTCCAAGCACCAACGAGGGGGAGAGATGGGCTCACTTCCATGGTTTTTTGGGGCAGGTTAGGAGGATGGAAAGAGAAGATGCCCAAGCTCTTGGAAGAAGCTTGGCAGGCTTTCTTTAAACAATTAAAAGAACATCAGCATCAATATTGTTGTAAATCTGGGGATTTGGTTTCATCTCAGCAGACATTTTTTGGCAGACCTCAAGCTTGTGGGCGCTTAGCTGGCCTGGCCCGCTGCTTTCCGGAGACTCACAGCTGCTCGTTCAGGACTGACGCTGCGGAGCTCTGCTGCGTCTCACCCGAGCTCTGCTCGCGGAAAAGGGGCAATGCCCGGCATAAGCCTCGGTCGACGTGTGGACCTGATGACATCCAAAGATTCTCCATGATAAATCACGATAGTCCTTTTTCGATCGGCAGCCGGGAATTATGGTCATGCTGGTTACTGTATGCATGTATATGCTGGTCCTGGTTCCTCGTTCCGGTCTCCAGGTGCCGAACGCGGCAGCGTCCGAGGCGGAGTTCCGGAGTTCCCATCCACGCGGTACGTGGGGTTCAAGCGGTCTTTGAAGCTACAGATGCAAGTTTTGCTTTGAAGGATGTGACTACTGTAGTGCATTTGTTCCTTTGTTTGTTTGGTTCACCTCAGGTGAACATCGTTGTTGCTTTTGTTGTTTTTCATTACCCCCTTAGCACCTGCAGACATTTTGAGACAAGTCTTCCTTTGCCTGCTCTTTGTGCTGAAGATCGAAGATGCTCCGCAAAGCTTTGACTCTCGATGCAGGGTCCAGGGTAGTTGTTGCTATCATTCTTTTTACTGGAAGAGTTGTTGATTTGATGGAAACAACACTCCTCCCAGCAAATTCTATGAGTTGTGCAGGGTATTAAGAGGTGTCGGTAGATCTGAGTAGAGCTCAGATTCTCTGTTGGGTCCTGAGGTGCAGATGCCATACCAGATATGTATCAACATGTCTTAACAAATTGCAACTTACTCATTCAATTAAAACTAAAATATACAGGTATCAGTGCTTGGTGACAAAAACATCCAACAAATGGTTGTCCATCTATGGTGGGTCACTATGTCTAGAGTGTAGACCCTCAACACGCCGGCAATTGGGGTGGTGACCGCCGAAGATCACATCGGCTGAGGACTTTGTTGGTCACGCTGGCTGATGCGCAGACCAAGTGGCCCGAGTGTTTGGAGAAAGGCGCCGGGTTCGTTTCTGGGGCCTGTGGCAATCTCGAAAACGAGTGAACATGGTCCCAAGACGACCCAACAGGTAGATTGGTTGCTCACACCTCTGAGCAGACAACTCCCTATGTTCGCTCACATGGACGGTTCGATGAACCGTCGACCTTCCGTGCCTTCCAGTTCCAGGTCGCAACGAAAGAACTCGCAACAAGGTGGGTGTTCAAAAACACCAGGCAGCCAGAACTTGGGCTGTTTGCCGAGGGATCCAACTGTTTCGGATGCAGGTCGGCCCGACATACTATATATTCTCATCAGTATTCTCATCCATTCTCCCCTTTGGATAGAGGTTGGTGAGAATATGAATATGTTACAATGGTGGTCTTTTTTATAAACCTGGCAAACATGTGGAAAAGGTATATCAACGGGTCACCCGGAGCCCCGATCTGCACCAACGCGTGGTCGCTCAGTGTTGCTCCCGGTCGGTGCAGGTGTGGCCTATACAGATTTGATGACCATCTCTGCCGGCTGGGCAGTCGACCGCCTGCACCAGGAGCCCAACGCGGGCTACCTGGAGAATGCCAAGGCGGGTGAAGAGAATCCAACGGGAAAACCATGGACAGACCACAGACAGATATGGCATGAGGCTGTGTTTTAGAACACGGAAACCGGAAAACCTCCAAAGACCTTTGAAGCATGTAATTATGGATTGGAGGGGCCGCTAGCAGACACAAAATTGGAAAGACATTGTGTTTCATGCCATTAGGATACAACACTCGTACAGACGTGGCCTAAGACAGGCCGATTGACTTGGTGTCTTTAGTTTTCGCATGTTTTCGCCAAGGCCTGTGCTGACAGCTGCCAGATTGCGCCCGCCTGCAAGCACTTTACCTTCAAGACCAAGCTGCTGGATCAGCAGGTTGTCGGAGTGGGCTTGTCGAGACAATCCATGGCCTTCCCAGTGCATTTAATCCAAAGCTATATGGAACCGTTACATCAGGAATCTATGCTGCATATGGTATCATTGTAAGTGGTAAAACTGTGATACGACTAGTGATATGATCAGACTAGTGATACGACTGTTAATTGATGCAACTACGATGATAAAGATCTATCCCCAAAGATCCCCAAAGTGGGTAGTTCGTTTCAAGATTTGTGATGATGAGTGCTGAATGCCGTCATTCATGCCGTCCTTTTTTACCACTTGTCATGTTAATGTTGTTTTCACCCATTCTTCCCAACAGAAAAGTGTGCCTTGATTGGTTCCGAGGTCATACCCCCAAGGCGGCGCGTGCTACTTGATTCAGCAGCTGGACGCATTGACTCATCGCTACGATGACGCGGATGCGGTGAGTGGTGCTAAGAATTGCAACGTCACCGTGAACGTCCCTGCTGTGAAGATGGCAGTGGACCCCATCGCTGTCCCTGCCACGCCTGCCACACCCACGGTGGAGGCAGGGAAGCCTGATGCCACACTCCAGCCTCAAATTGACGAGCCCAAGCTCCCCAAGGCTGACGTGGAGCCTCCCAAGGCTGTCACACTGCCAGCACCGGTCACACCTGAGGCACCCGCCGTGGCCACTGTGGCACCCCTGGCCACCGTGGCACCCCTGGCCACCGTGGCACCCCTGGCCACCGTAGCACCCGTCGCACCGGTTGTGCCTAAAGCCAGTGTCACCCCCCCCAAGCCCGTCACCCTTCCGGCGGTCGTCACTCCTGTGCCACTGACTGCAAAGGCTGAGGTCACTGCTCCAGCCGATGCGACGGCCGCAGCGGCGGAAACGGCGACTGCGGCTGCGAAGGTGGTCAGTGATGGGGCAGAAGATGCCAGCAGCTTTGTTAACAAAAGGAGTGTGGATGAGGTATGATGAGGTGCTTGAAAACATGTCCAATCAAGCCCCAGAAGTCGTGTTGGGACTTGAGAGTGCTTAATTATATTTATGTAATTTATATAGCTGGTTCTTCTAAACCTTCTAAGAGCTGTTTTGTTGACCGGTGATCACTTCAGGCGGCGTTCAATCTCCACCTGATCGGTCAAGCTTCAACTCATCACCGTTTCAGGATGATGCAGGGGTTCCTCTCCAGTAGTGTGCCATCCGCCAGGAAAAAAACACGAAAACACCCCACATGTTTTACGGCCCAAAATTCCTTATACGTTTCACGCGGGCCAAATCAGGCTCAGCCGCGGGTGCTTTGGAGTTTCCCATGCACGATGGCACGTGCCTCCAGACGGGAATCGCCTTCAAGAATCCCGTGCTGGGAATGGTGCCCACGCAGTTCGCCGACACGGCAGAGGACTGCCAGAAGAAGTGCGCAGACTCCACGGTTTGTACGTGGTTTACCTGGAGACTCGGTATGACTCGGTCTGGTTTGCAGCTGGGAGAACTTAATTTAAAGGTGTGTTGAAATTGGGAGGTGCAAAAGGCCATTGGAAGGGAATTGAAAGTGACAAGGAACCAATGCCAGGCCAACTAGTGACTAGTGCAGAAAGGTGCACTATGGAAGCTGCGAAGGAATAAAGCATAGGTGGAGCATGGTGGAGCTACAAAAGATACTCTCACTTTACCCTCACTGTCGGTCGAAATCATCAAAGCTGAATCAGACTGACCGAAGCTCTTTGGAGCATGTGTTTCAGGTGCTGTTCATTATGCCAGCCCCCTGCATCCCCCTGCCAGACTTTTCATTGTGTGTGTGTGCCTTGCTGCTAAGTTGCTTGTATGTGCTTGTCATCATTTGAAAGTATGTTCTTTATGTTGTGGTGGGATTGATTAGGCGTGTTAAGGCGCAGATTCAACCATGGACCATGGAGTCATGGAGCTCGTCAGAGACGTCCTCACTACCTATCCCATTGTGGATGTGCTTATGAGCAATCGCAGCATCAAATCCGGGTTCTGGCGCAGTACATGAGACTTTTTGAGATTTTCACCGTGCATAATCACATATTTCCCAGACACTCCATGTATGGCATATGCCTATGCCTATATCATGTGGGTGGTTTCAGGGGTCAATGGGCATATACAATCTTGTACTATACATTCATACATGGAGTGTTTGGGTTTGAGTGGCAGGCCCGAGTTCTGGCCAGGCGTTGGAGACCAATGCTCCTTTCCGACCTCTCTGAAACACACGCCACTTCGACGGCACCGATGGTGCTGAGGAAGTCCGACAGCTTTCCTAAGAACGGATGTTGGTTCTTTGACGGTGAACTCACGACCTTGGCGCATTCAGCCGATCCGAGCCATGGCGCCACGAACACGGCGCGGAGTGGGGGCGGAGTGGGGAGTGGTGGAGAATGATGGGGTAGAGTTGGTGTAAGCTGGAGACACGGAACATAGAAGCACCATGAAGCATCATTTGAATGTCCATGTCTTGCAGTCGCTGTCAGCCCTTTGGATGTGTAACTCAGACAGGGCGTCACTAGATGAAACACAGCACCACCTTTCAGAAAAAAGAAAGGTTGTATTCAAGCTGATGGCGTCGTTTGGCATGGTTCATCATGGTTCTTTGGGGCTTTCGCCTATAGTTGTTGACCAAGCACCAGGAGTTTGTCGCGGTAGACCATCACCTTCCCTTCCGCTGGAAGAGGGCACCCGAGCCAAGGGGTGCCACCAGCGGACCGAAGGACTGTTCTGCTTCCTTGGCCAAGGGTGGCCTGGACCGCACGGACACCGCACGCTCTTTTCGCTTCCGTCGATGTTGATCGATTCTTCGAAGGATCCCCATGGGCGATATCGGAATCAGAGACGAACAGCTCCCATTGTGACCGTTGAATCCTTGTTCCTTTTGAGGGCGATGTTTCTTTGGCTGGCTGGTGGGAGTTGGTGTGTGGAATGATTGAGGGTTGATTGAAGGTTTGGAGCACTGCTCTCGGGTTGGGTGGACCGGGCTATTGGAAGATGGACAGTTCCCGAGCAAAGTCCATCATCCGCGATGCTTGTTGAAGAATATTCCTTTTGACCTTGATAGTTATCGTTACGCTACAATGTGGACGTGTGCCTGTCACGTCGCGGGTATATCTGAGAGATTCCTGAGAAAGAGGTTCGATTCTGGTGTTCTTTGACTTTAATGCAGTTTTTTCAACCTTCATCCTTCATCATATGCCGTCACCGCCTAAAGCAGGGCTCCGTGCTTTACGGATGCAGGTGTTGGTGAAGGCGGCAAAGCAATGGTGGCCGGAGCCCAGGGCGGCTTAGATTCCAACATGCTGTGGGCCATCCTGGGTGGCACTGCTGCAGCTGCGGCGCTGGGCGGTGTGGCCCTTTATGTTGCTGGGCGGTGTGGGGTGTTGGATGGTGTTGATATGGGTGGGTTTGGCTGCTTGGTGCGAGGATGTGTGAGGAAGTGGGAAAAGTACTAAAGTAGTGTGAGAAAACAAACTGACAGCAAAGGCCTGATTGACAGAACTCATTTCATCATCAAAACGGAGGGAAGCTTGGCAATGGTTCCCATCTCGATGTTTTTGACTTTGACTGAATAGCTTTTGCTTGTGCCCTCCATCTGCTCAGAACATCCCGCGCCACCAAGGCCAGCTCCGGAGAGAAAAAGGTGAAGAAGTCCAAGCGCAGCATGAAGGTGACGGCTGATGAGGAAGCACCTTTGGCCAGCGCAGGCATGGCATCGAATGGAATCGTATCATGCTCAGAACAGCCATGAACAGCCCGCCTGGGGTATGTTGAAAGGCGGCACAAGCGACCACCGTCGGGCTTTGGGTTGTGACAGTTTTGATCCACACGCACAGAACCGGCCTCGAAACCGGTTCCCACTGAGCGTGTCCCACGCAGCGTGCGACGTACACGGGGGCCGAAACGAACGGCTACTACTTAGTAACAAAGGGCGTCGCTACGAACTGAGCGATCGGACGATACGAACGGGGCGCTCCTGGCAAGCCCTATACTAGCAAAAGGACGCTACGAACGTAACAAAGGGCATCGCTGGCAGGTGGCATTGCGCCATCGCCCTCCTTCGCCCCTCCACAGCCCGGCAGCGCTCAGATGGTCGCTTCACTGAGATAGTCGCCGTCGTACAGGTGCTGTCGAACATGTGGGACGGCTCAGGTACAGTGGTTGGGGACTCCTTGGTTGATTAGATCGATCATATTCAATCATCAGGTTGTTCCTTCGCTTTATGTGTGAATAATTGGTATCATTATCTTATAAGGATACCTTAAGAAATGATAATATCCATTAACCAACCTGGGCCGGGTTGTCAAACCTGCAGTTTGATTCGGCTTCGGCATTGTAGCCTGGTGTAGCCCAAATTTGTAAGTAAAGGCGCTTGGCCTGTAGGAGGCCCCCAGCAAAATATACTTTGGGCACACACTTTTCTTTACAAGTTCGTCTTTTTGTCCAGGTGGCATGCTGAGGCTGGGCAGGTGTAGATGCTATGTACAATTCCAACATCATTAAAAACCCTGTGGGCGGATTCACTAGACAGGTGAAACCTCAAATATTTGGAACAAATTGAGGCTCACATGGATCTCACAGTTCTTTTCTTGGCAAACCCACGCCTCGGTCGTCAGATCCGGGCTCGCACGATTTGAGGTGGCCCCCACCTTTGCTTACACTCAAGCGGCACAGCCCATGACCTACACGCAAGTGCCACAGCCAGCGACCTACCAGGTCGCCCAGCCCATGACCTACACCCAAGCACCAGTGACCTACACCGCCTACACCCAAGTACCGCAAGCGACGTACTCGCCAGTGGTCACCGAAGCTGCTCAGGATCTTCACTTGTGTGTTTTTTTCCCGACCATTCTTGACACCCCAGAGTTTCGGTGCTTTTGGGGTCCTTTGCGAAGGGGAGGTGCCTTGTCAGGCTGGATTTTGCTCGAAAACCTCCCCAAACCTTTGATCTAGGGTTCAGATGCTGGCATTTGATGTTTTGGGATGCAACCATCGCAGGAGCTGCGCTAAGCCGCTTAGCCCAGCCAGAGAGTTTGATGCAACTTAACTTGATGACATTACCGGGTCTTGGCCAAGCTGAGCACAAGGAACGGAGTTGGAGACTCCCATATAGTTATATATTATATAGTGTTACATATATATATATATATATGTGTGTGTGTGTGTGTGTGAGGCCCCATGCTCCAAACATATATGTCGTTTTAGGGGCATATCTTGGGTTGCTGCTTTTCGCCGGATCTTGTGCTGTCAAGAACCCAGCCGCATCCTATCCTGCTTGGAAACATCACAGCACTGACAGTAATTAAGAGATATTGAGTGCTTTGCAATGTTTCCCTTTGTTGGCTCATTGGTCTACTTGTGCAGTATTCCCACAATGTACTCAGAAGGTTAAGTTTAGACAACTCTTGACTCAGAGCCATGTCTCAAAAGAGGAATGTGAGCGGGAGAAAATGTGCTGCTAGTTTGCAAGCAATCTCTATGACTACGTGCTGGCCTTGATGTGCAAAGACACAATGCAACTGCAAGGAAAATCGTGATGAACTGGGAGTGGCGTGGCAGTGGTGTGGTTGTATGTCAACTGAATTGGGCATGTGTGTGTGTGTGTGTCACTCCCCGTTTCCAGGGGCTTTCAGCAGCAGGCGGACAGAGAGGACTTGCAAAGCTTTGCTCAACGGAGCTCTTCGCAATGGTCCTCAGAAGCGGAAACAGATCCGTGTACCTGCATAACTTTGGAATTCCCGCTGGTGATGCAGAAGCAGCTACATGTTGTTCCCGGCCGATTTATCAGTTTTTGCAGGTTCAGGTCGTCGCGCACTAGTTGGGTAGCGCAGTGACTAATTCTAAAGCGCGAATGCGCTCTTGGGACCACCCAGTATTGTGCTCTTGCGAGTTCCTCCTGATGCGCGGGGGTTTGCAGTCTTTTTATTTTGTCCAGATGTGCACTGCTTTTTGACAAGAGTCAGCAGGGGATGCGGATAGGGGCAGATGACATGAGACCATTAGCAAGGAAGAGCGTGCAGTGGGTCCAGAGTAAATGGATGTAGATCGTACAAACCCCGAGTTCTTTGAATATAGGGGTCCAGATGAAACCACCTGTTGGGATTGTGCCATATACTCTCAATCCACTTGCTATAATAACTGTTTGCCCTACTTCCGTTGACTCGAGGGACTCTTTCAGGCATGTCGGCGGGTGCAAACTTGGTTTTGCTTGAAGTTTGGGTAAGGTTTCTCAAGTGGCGCAACAAAGCAGTTGCCATACCTTCATCGCTAAACAATAAGGTGTAAATTTCCCACAACACAATCAGCACAAGTCGCATTGCTATCAACTTTTATATCAGGGATTGATAGGGCATAGGGATTGCATGTCAGTGTTACATTTGTACTGCCAGCTATCATCGGGGGGGTCAAACACTTATATAAGATATCAATCTTAATTGTTCCTGCATGTGAAGCACTGTTCATGCTGATGTTCACGCGCATTTATGCTTAAACACTTATCTTGTGAAAACCGTTCAGTGTCTTCGGTGGTTGGAACGGCGCCCGTTGACAGGTGCCTGGGTGGCCCGTGGGGAGCCCAAGCCTTTCCAAATGAACATGCTTTTGGCCCCAAGTTGGGACAGAACACCCGGCACACGACACTCGCGCAACGCGTTAGTTCCAAGACACCCGGTGCAGCTCCGAACTTCCGCACGACGAACGAACCGACGAACCACCTCGTCTCAGTCACTGGCCAAGGTTTGGGCATCTCCGGAAAGGGGTGCAAAAGGTGCAGGTTCCTTGAGGAAATTAATTGATTGACTTTTGAGCATCTTAGCTGGGAGCATTTGGAAGACCAGTAAGGAAGGCCAGTAAGGTATGATGTCGCCCAGCTTAGTGTGAGATGCAAATCTCAGGCAGAACCTGCTTTCATCCAAGAGCCAGCCCTGGTGTGCAGAGCTTAGAGATTGCACCACTGGGACGGGATCGCCAATTCATGTAAAGGGCATTTATAAAACTACAGACACGGAGAGAAAAGGTCATCTCAAATTCCCAGGTGGTGCTGGATTTTCTTCACAAACTGTACACTGTTTTTGACTTTGGATTTTAATATTAGCAACAATTAATTATCCGACCCAGAGGAATAACTGCATTTCTGATGTTGGTCGTTTGACGTGTTTTAGCATATTCAGCGGCTGATCTGCATTTTAGTGTCTCATCTCTATTAATTACTGCACTATCACAAAGCCGGAGGCCCTTTTTCCCAGGAGCCATGCAGGCACGTCCGATGTGCTTATACAGATGCATCGGGATCCTCATAAACGAACACAGAAACCTCCCTGACCAAGCAATTCTCCGAAACCCACTGTTGTGCATTCCCAGGTTGATCAACTGAGTCTTCTTGAGAGTTTGTCAGCGGTCAGACAAGCTGCAGAGAACATTGGCTAAGATTCTTTCTGCTGAAAGAGGGCTGGGAGGGGTTTAGTTGACTCACCCTTCACCAAACGAAAGAAGCAGTCATTTGCATTGTCCTAACCAGACAGGGGGGCACTTGCACTGTTGTGTGGGGAGATGTAGTTTGATGTTGTTTTGTAGTCATGGCCGAAGAACACTTGGCACAATTTTAAAATAAGGTTTGGAAGCTGAGTGTTGGGATCCCTTTACCGTCCTCATCCACACACCCGCAATCTGTGTTAACGCTTTTGGAAAGGAAAGAGGAGAGAGTCACCGTTTGAGGATCATGTTTGTTGCCAGTTTGGGAACATCCCAGTTTCCTGTTACCTGACCACCTGAGCTGAGAATACAGTGGTTTTAACCACTTGCACTTAAAGCAATCTACGAATCCCCCAAAGGCAGAGTCCCAAATGCTACTTTGCTAAGAGTCTAAGGCCGGTGGTTGTATCTTATTCTTATGGTTTTACAGTTTTACGTTTATTCCATGTTTAGAAGTGTGATCCGTACACAAAAACACGGCAACATTTCAGGGCAGTTAAGGACCATCTTCATCAAACCTGTCCGGACAACCACTACTGGACTCTACTACTGAACAGCCTTTTGTAAACGTCATAAGGCTCATTAAATATATGGAAGGATTGACTCCTCCCTTTCCGTCTCCCTCTCTCTCCCTCTATACGGCACACACACACGTATATATATACCTAGAAAGCCCAAGTATGCAAAAAAAATGTAATCGTGTTTTTTTCCGGCAAAAAAAAGGTCATCTCAGCCAAGAAACGTCATTGTTTTGTAAAATTGTAGTTGCTGCGATCAAGCCAGTGGAGGGTATGCAATATTCATTTTTTCAGCTGCTTCCAATCCCAAATCCAGCCTCTTCTTACACCAAAAGGTAGTTGTTCACCTAAACTTAGGCTGTTTGAGTCGGTTCCGGCGAAAGTGCAAGGATACACCGTACCTTTCGATGGCCCTTAGGATCACCTGCTTGCTTGCAACCTGTCTACTGACACGGCTGATTCTCCCAATAATAAAAACTTTGTTGGCTGCACAATGCCATTTAAGTGACACGCAAAATTTGGACAGTTTGACAATTTCCCTCGTCTCAAAAGTGGTGTGAGAAAAATTTGGCGTTTGGGCCGAAGTCATACACAACCTGTAACGCAGTGCGAGCCGCTCTTAAGGAATCGAAACAACTACTACAGCGAGTTAGCTGTGTTTTGCTCCTGCAACTGCTGGAGAAGGGTGTCTTCCTCATCATGGGGCTGCACAACATCATGTCGGGCAGGGCATGCCTTCAAAGCCCTCACCTCACACAGAGTGGCGCAGCTCGAAACCAAGGAGTTGATAGGAGCAGGCGTGGCCACATCAAAGGAAACCTGCAATGTACCAGAGGCCCCTGAAACAGCAAAAATTTCTACATTCAAAACATCCAAACCGTGTCCAGCAATTTCCGCAATTTTTCCGGTGATTTCCGTCATTTGGACGGTAAATTCCGTATATAATTGTTTTTCGGCCACTCCTGCATGGAAGTTTAAATGTCCCCTGAAAAAAACCGGAAATCTCAGCGATTGCAGGTCGAGCTAGGTTCTGTTTTCCCTTGCCCCAAGCGTTTCTCTATTATTCAGCTTTGAATGATCACCGCAACTCATCCGAATCTTCCAGGCAAGATGGAATCAAGGCATTCCATGACAAGCTGTTGGGATAATTCGACGCATCTCAAACACAGCATGCTCTCAGTGAAATTGGCTTCTGTCCGGTCGATTTCCAGGGCCTTCGCTTCGAAGTTCTTCGAGGGCAAAGGCAGAGCAGCTTTTCAACGTCTTGAAGTTTTGGCCACTCTAACCATGACTATGAACTAAATAGATAGAGCTCGACCACTTTGAAATGGTTTCGATGGCGATATGGATCTCCAAAGCAATCTTTGCAAAACGAGGAAGTTGCAATTTGTGCACAGGGGGCATCATGTATCATCTAATTGCCCTCTGGTGATTGCAACATCCTCTGTGTACAGAAAGTAAGTACTGGCGCCCTGTTCATTTGCCCACAACTCCAGACTGGAGATCTCAGACAGAATGGTCCCATGATTTCTCAAACAAACAGCAGTAAGTTTGCAAAAGGTAACAAAAGGTAACCAAAATCCAAAAAGGTAATTGTTATACAAAAACTACATTTTCAACCAAAAACTGTTTTTTCTGAAACGACATTTTTGTTTTGCATACTTTAGGTTTACTAGGTATATATATATATTATACCCTAGAAGTCCAAAGACTACATTTTGAAGTAAAGGAAGTTCCCTTTCAGGTCCCCTAAAGACCATTCTTTTTGTAGTCTTTGACTCCCAGAATATATTATATATAGCTCACGCACACCGGAACTGGACAACCTTTGACACTTCTTTGGGTGTTTTTGAGGGTGACTATGTGTGACTGTGGGTGACTGGTTTTGCGGTGTGGTCAGGGTTTTTGTTTATATAATGGGCTTGGGGACTATCTTGGCATCTCCGGGATGATTTCTGTCTGATGGGTGCTCGTGCTGCATAGGCTCCGCTGGGACCTGCTGCAGACTTTGAAGACTCAGTTCGGGGCCCCGGCGGGCCAAGGTATTTCACGCTGTGTGTCTCCAGCTCACCAAGATGGAAGTGGAACATCATTATCTGAGAATGTAAATAAACACCGTGCCCATGACTGTATATAGTCTTCACAAGTCATTGTTGTTAATGTTTAATGCACTTGAAGAGCAGCAAGGAACCAACAAATAAGTCAATTATGATATCATGATGCATTGTCCAGACATGTTGCTAGAAACCTGTTGAACCTGTGTTCAACTAGATGGACATGACTGGCAATCTCAGTGCTTGACACTTCGATGTGTTCTTTTTGAATAAGAGTTGCATGGATTTGTGCACCTGCAGCCAGGGGTAGTGTAGGTCATGAGGAGCAAGACGAGCACCACGACAGTCAAGGCCTGCGTCATGAATCCCAAGAGACATCCACCATGCGATGTCGGCCTCTTGCCCTGTAACATTCCTTCTTCAGTCCGACCCCCTGGACGCCGCGGCTCGCCAATCCAAATCCGATGCCCTGGTGGGGACATTAGACGACCTCAATTTCAACCACACGCTAGTCCATACATATAGACATACATTCACGTCCAAGAACATGCAAACACACGCACACAAACACATGTTTCGGGCTTTCTATCCAAGACTTGGGCCAAAATCCAGTTCACTGCCACCACCCGTTTCTTCACCAGGGATCCGGGCGCGATCTCCCCATGCCGACGCGGATTGGGGCGTGGCGCACGTGGCCGCGATGCTTCTGGGCCGCTTGCAACGAACGGCCCTGGCCGACTGCGAGGCGGGCGGCGCGGAGCGCGGGCGGTCGATCCCCGTTGGGGTCGGCACCGGGGGTCCAGCAGGTGACTATGAGAGTTGCTGGATGTTTGTGGACCATGTGGTGGTATGTGATGGAACCAATGTGGGGTAAAAGAAAACCAATGGGCTCGGTTTGGCAGGGTTGGTGGACGGACCTAGTGGTAGGATGACCTAGGATGACCCGGTCGACGAGTTGGATTAGTTTGTGCAGGGGTGGATGACACTATCAGATAAAGCCGGCCGTAGCCCCAAGGTAGAAATTTAACACCATACGACCATGTATGGCCCATACATGTTCATACCTTTTCCATGACCAATAGGATCCCAATAGGTTATTTTAAGAAATGCATGAGGAAAATAACAATAGGACAATCCTAAATTTCCCTGTCGGTAGGCCCGTATACGACAAAGTAAGGCCCTTGCGAGTCCATGTCCGGAGAATGACGGGAGTTTCTATGGACGAAAATGGGGTCATGGGACATCCAAAACTATTTGGTTGCCAGGGTGCTGGTCACAAGCAATGGGAGAGAATGGGAGAACTCCTATTTGGAGTGTGGAGACATGCTTTCCTTGCATTAAACCCTGAGTGAAAGCATGTAAAAGCCATCCAACCTTGAGTGCTCGGGACTTGGATTTGACACAGATCTCGGACGCAGCGTCCTGCTTTGGAGTAGGGATGATCCACGAAAACACTGCAGGTGATGGACTGGGCGAGAGGAAATCCATGTCAATTTGACCTAGCAAACACACATCCACAACTGTAGAGGCAAGAGGACACTGCCAGATTCACACTTGTTCGCTCTCAGTCCATCTGCCAGGACTGCGGACTCTCCTTCCCTGATACAACACCGGCCGGCACACCGGAGGCACGAGCGGGAGGAACCTTTCTGCCGGAGGGCAGAAACAGGGAAGGTGCTGCTCAGCCCACATCAAGGTGTTCATGAGAGCATTTTTATATAATGCATCCCTCCAGTGAGATTCCAGGAGTAGTGATTAAGCAATTATTATGTCTATAAATATGTGGCATGCTGATCTTTGGCCATGGTGGCTTTTGACGATCTTTATATTTATGTTCAATGCCTAAGCCCTTGGAGATGCCGGCTCGACTCGGGGGTCCTGCGTCAAAGACCAATCCTGGATATGAATGTATATCATTATCCAGAGATCCAATCTGGCACTACACCTCATCACGAAAGCTAGCGTGCTAGCTGAGTCTTTCTTTTTGCTCTAGCGATCTTGTATTGGGATAAGGTTGGTGCCCTAAAGCTTGATCATTCAAACTAAACAGCCCCCCCACTCCCTCGCAGGGTTCAACTCCCACATTCTGTTGTGAAAGCTACCTGACTTCAGATGATGCAGATGTTATCCTTGACCCAACTTTACCTCAAGAAACATGAAAGAATATTGAAAACAAAGGTGTCGGTCAGATGCCCTTTCTTTCGTGGTTTGAAACGTGTTTTTCAGATACCTGCTTCACCGATGTATACACCATGCTGCTGCTGCTGCTGCTGCTGCTCGGTTGCTGGCGTACTATCGCTCTCCTTGTTTCTGGAAGAAAGCTTAGGGGTCGCTTCCGGCAACGCCTTGTAGACTCTGCTGTTGGTGTGCTGCTGCCTTGCTTTGCTGCTGTTTTGCTGCCGCGCTGCTGCCGGTGTGCTGCTGATTTGCTGCTGGTGTGCTGGAGTGTTGCTGGTTTGCTGCTGTTGTGCTTGCCTCGTATCGCTTTGGCTAGCTTTCGGCCCCCTCCCCCTCGCCTCAAGACATTCTGACCGAACAGGTTTCCCCCCACGTGGATCATTTGATGTCCTTCCCTACCCATGGCAGGAGAGTGAGCAGGATTTGTTTCCGCTGTTTTGTAGGAGGCCCTCAGATCAGCCAAAGGTTTATATTTAAATACCAGGATTTGGGAAGACGGGATATCTCCCCTGCTTTAGGTCCACCATGTTCAGTGGACCCAGTCAGTCCAAGAATTATAGGACTACCTATGACTACCTTTTGGACTGAGGCCTCATTTGCATAACAAAGGTTGCTGTAGTGGCCATGATTATGGAACGTTTCCCCTGTTGGATGCACGCAACAAGAGCACGGTATAGTTCAATAGGTCCATCCAACATGATCATGAGCCATGACATGTTTCGGCTGGTTTCCCCTCATGGCGTGTGATCGATCATCAGTGTGGCCAGTGATTGAAGTGCAAGCATCACATCCCAGACTTGGTTCCAGGGGAAACCTGAAGGACATGTGAAAGCCATGATGGTTTCGATTCGATGGTTTCCTGTAGATATTTACACCCTGCGGGTTGTTCCGCCGGCCTTTTCAGCCAATGGTCCCAAGATGCGGATTACCTTTTGCGTCAAGAGGAAAGACTGCAACAGAGCAGAAAAAGTAACAGCATCGTCCAGAACACAGCTGGAGCAACAGAGGAGCCTACATGAAATGACGTGCATTATGATACAATAAGAGAACAGTGAGATGAAATTGGGGGATGCAAAGTATAGCCTGCCAAGCAAGAAGACAAATTATATGACATGTGACACAATGAGCGAAGTAGACCGTGCGAAGCAGCAAACGTACATAGCATTCCGTCAGACATGATACAAGAGAGTAATGAGGACATGTGTGGCATGGTGATTTCCAAGCAGTCTGAGTCTGCAAAAAACGATAGATACGTGAGTGCAGGTGCAAAACCTGAGGAAAAACGCATGCAAAGCAGAAGCGCAATGCATGGACAACGACAAGAGAAGAACGGCGATAAGAAGGAAGCGCACACAACCTTTCACTTTAGCTATGATATATGTGAGCTACATACATTCGGGATGTTCTTGGGGGGGGGGGGGGGGGGGGGGTCAAGTTAGACGAGGCAAAAACTCGCTCCAGAGACACTTTTCTTTTTACATATAGATTCAACATAACTTAAGCTACATACAAGCCACATTGATGAAACACGCCGGCGCCCAAGGGCCGGCGGATTCCCTTGAACATCCTTAACCAATCCATTGAGCGGTTGCTCGTTTTTGCACGCGGGAGTATCTTATGAACGCAATCTTATGCATATATATATTTGTGTTTAATTAGTATATATGTTTCAATCTTATGAACACAATCTTATGAACCCTTGCAGCGCTTCAGAGTCACACTGTCTGGTTGCTAACTGCAACCCACCCCACCCCACCCCCCACCCCCAACCCGCTCATGGGTTTGCGTGGCAGAAGTGTGCTTTGAAAGGCAATCAAAAGTGCGCGTGTGTAAAGATGAGGTAGAAAACGTGTGCGTGTGTAAAGATGAGTTGTCATCTGTGTGCGAATCTGAGTGAGATTTCAGGGGGGGTCTGTGTGCGAATATGAGTTGGATCTGTGTGCGAATATGAGCGGCCTCCCTGAATCCATTGATCAATATACCGGGCTTCTTTTTTATAGACCCAACTGCCAGGTCCTTGAGATCGTGGTGGAGCCTCGCAGACGACGCACCTCGAAGCACCGGAAGTCCAGACGACGCGGCTTGGCGCTCAAACAGTGCTGGAATCAAAGGGGTGGAAGAAGTGGAACGAGGTCCTCATAGGTCATATAGGACCACCCCTGGAATCACGTAGAATCCAAAGGAAGTGAATCCAAAGGACCACCCAGTGACCTATGAGGACCTCAAGATGCTGGAACGAGTGGAAGTGGAATTTTGCGGTCCTCATAGGTCATAGGTCCACAGGTCAGAACTGGCTCGGTCCAGTGCGACTGCGACCAGCCACGCCACGGTGGGATGGCGTTCCAGTGGGCCTCCTCAGGGATTCGTCAGTAAGTTCACCTTGTCCAAGACAAGGTTCAAAATCCATCCGAGGTTTGTGCTGGTTTGATGTGTTTTGGATCTCTTCTGCAGAAAATATAGAGGTCTGAGGTCTGCACCAAAATGGAGGACTCGCATAGAGTTTGCCTGAACTGATCTCCGAGGCTGTCATCCTGACACTGCCTGCGTGTGCTGCTCCTGTGGCTTGCACCCGGGCGAATAGAGAGGAGCACTCAAATACCAAGTCTTGACAAGCCAATCAACCCCAAAGGTTTCATTGAATGATGTCCGAAAGCTTTCAGTATAGAACATAGATGGCAATCCAGGAGCTTGTGGATCTCTTTTGTTTTGAGAGTCTGACATCGAATGCACATAAGGGCATGATCCTGGCATACTCCAGTGTTTGCTTTCCGTTGTGTGATCTAAAACTCGGTCTCAAGACACAGCGCGCCACACGAACCCCTTCCAGGGCTAAACTCCCATGTTTCTCCTCCAAGAAGGGGGTTCGCCATGGGTAACTCCATGCGGAGAGGACCACGCTGGCCGCCCACCACGGTCCGGACCGTCGTGCGAACCGCTTTCTGGACCGGACCGGACCGGCCGGTCGAGGCTGGTGCTGGTGCTCTTCGCGGTCTTCGCAAGGCAACTGATGGGGCTCAGCCTGGAGACGGCTCAGTGCCGTGGCAGAGCGAAGCGAAGGAGCGAAGGAGTGGGCCAGCGAGCCCAAGAACCACAGGGGGCTTGGAGTGAGAATGGAGGGCTTTGTGTTGTTGGTGTCGTCCTCGTGTTTTGGTCGTAGGGGGGAGGTGATCTTGTTCTAGCAAAACCTTGAACCTGCCCTTGTAACAATGTATCACAAGGCATGCTTGAGACGCGTGCCCCTGTAATTGAACAGAGGGCAATCCCAGTCTGCGACTTGGTGTGTTCATGTGTGTTCCAATGACCCCAAATGTGGTATAAGATCCAAACACAGTATGACATGAGTGAATCCTGTGACGCTACATAATCAGTCGCGAGTCGCAAGCATATATTGGTGCCTGTATGCGTTGATCTTTCTATTCCCTTTTCGGAGCCTCCTGGACCAGCTTTGCAGTTTACCTGGGACATCGTCCCAAGGCATCCGGTGATACAGCTGCTGGCGATCGCTTGGGGACAGACATAGAAACCAACAAGAAAGGCGTCGGACAGCCATGAAACAAAAGTTCGATCTAAAAGAGTTGTCAAAACATGAACAACTAAATACAGGATCCTATAAAAGGAGTTCTCTAAAAGAGTTGTGTAAACATGCCCATCATCGGCCTTAACATGTCCATCCTGTTTAGTTTCGGAGATGACTCCAAGAGCGCTCCGGCTCCGCGCTTCGACGCATCGCCCAGGCTCCGCGGCGAGAAGAAGTCGACGTGCCTTGGAGGTGTTTGACTTGGGGCATTTGGGATGCTCGCTCAGTGTGATGTTTGTGATGTGTATGATGTGTGTGTTTTGTTTTGATTGCTAGTATTTATATGTGATAATCCACAATGATATCATCACCATCATCACCATCATGTTACGTGTTTCTTTCTTTCGCTCTTCGAGTCGAAGATTGCGTGGAACACTGACCGGTGCAGTGTCCCACGCCCGTGTGGGAAGCTCCTTTGCTAAAATGCAGAGGCTTTTGGACTTAGCACGGGCGATTTTACAAACACTCCGTGGATGTTCATTTCAACCAGAAGCGAACAGATATGGGTGTTGGTCACCTGTGCCAGTTCCCCCAGGCAGGCGAACAGCTCTGAGAGCAATGCAACGGAGAACATCAGCGGTCCCATGGGTATGTCGCTGCCACACGGTGCGTCTTCGGAGGGCGCTGAGGTGGGTAATGAGACGGTGCCTGTGACTGATTCAGAGACCTGTGACGAGCGCAAAATACGGGATGGGTGTGGTAAAGAGCCCTCACCCCCCAACGGGTTCGTAGTGCAGGTGCGTGACTGATTGTTACTGGCAATAGTCCAATTGTTCTTGGAGTTTTTTGTTTTTAATCACTTTTTTCAATACGTTCATTTGACAACACTTTGGTTAGATGCCGATATTTCATCCACACTTGACATTCGAGGCCCGATCTTGGAGCGCAGAATTTGGACAGCGAGAGCTGGGAGGTCAATGAGAGTGACATCGAGTCAGTCCCTTGGTGAGAACTGAGATTGTTTTGTGGGAACTCTGTCTCATGTTTGGTGTGTTGAATCATCGAATTGGAACAATTTTATGAGAACTTGACCCCTGAGTGAGGCCCTTTTGGAGATTGGAGACAGTTCTTGACCCATATTTGCTGACATTTGCTGACCTTCCATGATTCCATGTTTACGGCGTTTATCCCTGACTGTCGCTTTGTGGTTTACGAGATGCTGAGGAGAATGGCAACATCACGAGGAATTCCTCTGAGGCAATTTGTTTGCAAAAAATTGAAGGGACCCATCTGAGAGATCTTTGGAGCATGCTTAGTCAGATTGCATATATGAATGCTAATATGATAACGTCAGCAAATGCGCATCTACTGAATCAGCTGTACACTGAATCATTTGTTTCGATCTACACTCCTCCCCCTTCGCCTTCCAATCCGTTTGGCGCTGAGGACGACTCGGACCGAGGCGCTGCCGCGGTGGGGCGGCGCATGGTTTGGTGCCCTGGGGCGATTGGAAGTTTCCATGGGCAGTGACAGCTTGAGATGCATAGACCTCCTGAGTCCTGAGTTAAACCCCCCCCACTCTTGTTTTGAAAATAAACAAAACGTTCATTTCAGGAGCTTCGTGAATCAAGAGTAGCTTACCTTTTATCAATCGTTTTGGAGGGGGGAGTTGTTGCATTGGCAGCTCGCACCTTTTTGTCATGATGATATGAGCACAGTGAGCCGCTCGCCACCTAGAAATACGTCACCCAAATCAGACCTGGCCACTTTAGTGCCGATTTTGGTGCAGCGACACAAGCCCTTGCATCAAGAAGGTTCAACTTCACAGGCCAATCGTTGCTGAAAGGCGGCCAGCAGAGCCAGAGGCCCTGTCAGGGTTTGATGCCCAATGAAGGTTCCATATGGATCATATGGTCAGTCAGAACTTGTCATTCTTTAACCTAGTTCAAATGATAGTGTTTGCTGCCCCTGCCAAGCAACTAGCTCATTCATCCTTAGGGGTTCCACTCGCTGTTCAAGCTGACCTGTCCTGTATTCATCCGTAAGCCAAGTGCACTACTTTGATCCTTGCTTGACCATGCATTTACCCCTAAGACCCTAAGATTTGCGGGAAGACACACCTGGCAACCCCAGCCATATATTTCCCCCAACGCCTCGCACTTTCGCATGCGACGTCGCCTCGCAGGCGGATGGCCCAGCGGAGGTTTCACGTCCAACCTCAGCGGAGCAGACGGCGGATGGCCGGAGACCTCCACCTCCACCAGCACGAGAAGTAGCTTGGGAAGTAGCTTCACCATCACCACCACGAGCACCAGTTTCACGAGCACCAGCTTTACCAGCACTACAAGATCTACAAGCTTTACCGCAACCATTAGCACTACGAGCTTCACTCGTAGTTTCACCACATTCTCCACGACTAGCACCAGCACTCGAAGTACGACAATCACAACGACCAGAAGTGCCACAACCACCACCACGACAACCGTGACAGCAACAAGCAGCAGTAGAACTACTAGACCTACAAGCAGCAGCACGAGAATTCCAACCACAGAAACATTCACAACCACCGCGTCCAGAACCACCACTTCCACCAACAGCTCTGTGACATCAACAACTCCGAGCACGACCTTCTCGACGGCTACAACTACTTCTACCACCAGCATGTTGGTATCGTCCTTTCTTTTTGAGCCCTCAAGTGACTCAGTCGGCAGCCACAAAGGGGTGGCCAATCATGCAGAAAGCAAGGGACACATGGGGTGCAACAGTTCAGCATGATGCGGGCTAGCTGCCTGATGTTGGAGTTTAAAGGCCTTGTAGACATTAGAAACAACTGGCAAGCCCAAACACGGCACTGGGTGCGATAGACCTTAGTATTCAAGAGGCATGGCATCCACAAGCTACAAACATTCGTCTAGGCTTGGGAAGTTTACACTATACAGTTGGATGTAGAGGATCAAGAGCATGACACATTTATTCCTCCGTTCGCCCGATCAGACCACTGACTGTGGCTCAAAGTCGCCAAGGCGGTCCACTAGAGGCGATGCCTTTGTGCTATTTACCTCCCTTGGTGGACAAACCCGGCTGCCAACGATGCGGCCGACAGGATCTCCGGGGAATGGACACCGGCGACGGAGGGACACCACTTCGGAGGGGAACATCAGCGATGAACTAAAGGGGAACATCAGCCACTGTGGAAGGGTCCATGGATGTCCATGGTGGGAAGTGACCGGAGGAGCATGGTGAGATGGATTGTGTGATGGATCATGGTGAGTGTGGAACTGCTGGGCGATGTGGGCGAGCGCAGGAAATGCATGGTTGGGACCCGCGGGCGTAGCATTAGAGCAAGCAGAAACGGATTCAGATCTTCCAAGGTTTTGCTTCACATTGATGTGATCCCCACCTTCCTCACCTCTTAGTCTCACATCATTTCGCTTCCTGGGCGATAGCTCGTTTGAGGAGGGGCCCCTCTTCGGATTGAATGAGTTGAAGCAGGAGACCAGCGCTCGAACCCGATGCTTGGAGAGCGCCAAGCTGAGTCGAGAACGGGGCGAACTCATGCATCACCCAGGCTGAGAAGTTTGAACACACATACTCTACCAGGGGTCCTGGGGCTGTCGGTTTTTTTGGTTCTTCAGCTGAGGCTTGAGAGTTTGGTCCAACACATTGTGACAGCTTTACATCAACAAAATCATCGCCATCAACCCAGCCAACCCCATCCAAGCCCGCAGCCCGCAAAGCTCTGTTTCACGGCGCTGTGAATCAACCTAGCTGTGCCTTAGGTGCGCGAGCTGTGCACTGAGGTGCGCGAGCAGCGAAGTGCAACGTGTGGGTCTTCCGGGTGGGGAGCTGTGAACTTTGGAACTGCAGCTCCAAAGAGGCCCTCCACAGGCCAGGTTTAGGAGCGATCGAGCTTAGCGAGGTTTGGGTGTGTCGAGGTAAGTGCACTATTTTTTTCTGCCATTGGACGACCTTGCTGTTCGGAGGATTTGGGGCTCGTGTGTTCAATGGTTTCCAGGCACCAGATGGTGACTACACTTGTTCCAACACAAGGCGTTGACGGTTCAACACAACAATCTGGGAACAAGAACGCCCAGTGTTCAGTGGACTTGTCGTGCTGGTTTTGTTCTATGTGATTAGCGACGCATGTTGTGCATTGGTGTTTGAAAATCATGTCGCAGTCCTTTTTCCCTGCAGGGCAGCAGACTCAGGCGTCGCTGAGCCGGATGGTGACATGTTCGCAGTGGGCGAAGGCATGTGGTTGCAAGGGGGTTCCAAACATGTCCAAACCGTAGACTCTTGATATTCATAAACCCCGAAACCCTCTTTTTTGGATTGTAGTGAATGCCTCTTGAATCTGGGCATTTGTTATTGCTGTCTATATTGCAGTTCTTCCAGGCATGGAGGGACAAACTCGAATTGTGCTTCAATAGCCGCATGTTAAACGGCCAAAGCCCAAAGAACCAAGACTACAGACTAATCAAACAGTCTTCGGTTTTTAGCATGACTGTATCAAACATTGCCCACGTTATGTATTTATATATATATATAAAATGTGTATTAGGTAGCAACAATGAAGTGCCAGATCGGCTTTAGTTTCGAATGTGTTGTCCATTGTTTTTGGCGTCATATTCATATTTATACCCAAGCCAGTGCAGACATGCAGACGAGCCACCAAGGCACTTTTCTGAAGGACTACCATGGGCGTCTTGTGACCACCAGTCGGGACAGGACACTTGTATCTTGGCTTTTTTGAGTGTTCTCAGGGATATCCCTCATGTCCGACATCAGTTTCGAGACCGCCACACCCAGGACATCAGTGTTTGATGAGTAGGAAACTCTCTCTCTCTCTCTCTCTCTCTGCTTGGCAGCCACAAAAATCCCCCGTGATGCTAACGCAAGGCTTGCCATTGGCCATTCATGCTTGGGACTGCATGAGTTTGAAACCGAGGCCCGCCAAAAAGAATAGATTTGTATGTGATCATCATTCCAACCTCAGGGGTCAGTACCGTTGGGCTCCTTTTTTGGTGGCCCTGGAACTGAGGTCGCTGAAGATACACCTGTGGCATCTTTGGCAGTGGTCACTTGGTTTGATCCCAGGCCGACTAGGTCATTGGGCGATGCTAAGATCATTGGTCGATATTGGGCGATGCACGTATCACCTAAGATCAGACTTCAATGAGGAAGCGCTGCGGTTGAGCAGTTGTTACTTTAATCAACTTTAATCGCTAAGCCGAGTTGGTTCAATTTGAGCTTCGGGAGGAGGAGGTTGTTTCAAGGAAGAACCGAACATGCACTTCCTCTCAGCGACAGTTCGCCTGGCTGATTCACCTACTTTCCCAAGGCCCTGCGGCCAACGGGCAGTGTTGCGAAGTTGCAGAGTGCCGACGGTGGTTGCCTCAGTGCACTGGGAAGAAGATGAATGAGAGCCCGATCAGGCAGATTTGTTTCCTAAGCTGAACGGCCAGGCAGAGCTCAGCTTGGATTGAACAGTCTGGCAAAGATAGCGTTTGGACGCGTTTGGGCAACTCATTCTCCAGCACTTGGATGAATTGCGAATTTTATTGGAGGACAATTTCAATTCGAGGCGATGGGTCAAAACCATAAAATCTAACTAAAAGAATGGTTGGTGAGCATCCCTCTTTATACAGTATAGTATAGTTTGAGGGTACATGGCGGCCTGGCGTCAAAAAATCCCAGAAGATTGCTATTTTGGCAACTCAGTTCCAAATAAGCACTCTGCATAGTAAATGGGGATGTTGTGAAAGTCAAGAAATGTAATGTTTGTGTGTTTCTCAGGCTTTAATCGGAGTGTTGGCAGAAACTGGGCGACTTTTTGCAAAGGGATGTTGAATATTGTCGGTGTGTATCTCTTGGATCATGCCGCTGGGTGGTTGTTGGACCGTTTGGCGCCTTAGACCTTGGGTCTAGGGTCACTTGTTTGGGCGAGTTGCGCAAGGTCACTTTGTCACTGTAGCATCTTCTGGATCCTTGGAAGCTAGTCGGTGGGCGGCTTGGATGCGCTTTGATCTGGCATAGGGCGCCGGGTCCGGTGACACAGGCACCACAGGCGGCGTTACGAAAGATAAACAGTAACCCAGTCAATGTGCAGCAGTGATGGTGCTGAACGATTATACCTTGCATGGCTGAAACTCACAATGTCATACAATTTCTCTCAACCCACCAGAAAGGACGAACGGATCAGAAAGGTTCACAAGTGAGGTTCATCGGGTTGCTTTTGTGGGTTCGGAGGCGCACATTCTTCAGACCTGATGTTCTTTTTCGCGGCATGGCCACCGCATCCCCGCTTGCCGGTGGCCTTTCCCTGCGCTTGGCCAGGCTTCGCATTCGCTTGCGCATGCGGTGTCACATCCGTTGTCGGGTTGGCCTTCAGGACGATGGAGAGACCTTCAACATCACCCGGGAAGGCAGAGCACGCAGGGCGACCGATTGCGGATTGGCCTTTAAGAAGTGTTTAAGGCAGTTTAAGGCGAAGACGGAGATGTTCCAAACACCTAAGGCCTTGGACCTGTCGACGTGGAGACCCTTAGTAATTTGCTTGAGGACTTTGTGCACATTGAAGGCCAACCACCCCCCCAAAGAAAAAAACAAGAATCAGCTCCATGATGTTCCAAGACATTGGATTTGGAGGGTTGGCTCATCAGAAACATCAGAATGCCTTCGCCATTGTTTTTGGGTCGGGAGAAAGGTTGGTCCCAGGTCCTATTGATTGTTTGTTTCATCTCCTTTCCAGGTGCCTACGTTCTGCTCCAGAGCCCTCGAGGACTGCTCCGCTCCGATGGCACAGCCATCATGGTGAGCAGACGCGAAGGAAGGCCACCGGAGGAAGGCGCGGCAGCCGCAATGGTTTGGTGTTTGGGACGTAGCAGTGGCTCACAAGTGGAGTCCCTCCAAACCCACTAAAAGAAGGATAGTTGACTAAAAACTAAAGCCTACTCGTATGTATTGCTTGACATTCTAAGCCATATTCATATGCCTTCTTTGCGGGACCTGCGAGGTCTTCAGAGATCGAGCATGCCCTTGAGACGATGGAGCCTGTGAAAAAAGACATATGGAAAACTAAAACACGCTGGTAGTGTTGACTTCTCCATCTCGGGTAGTGGGCTGAGAATCTCTCTCTATATATTTATTTATGCAAGACTACATGAGTCTTTGCAGCCAGATTTTGTCCTATTGCCTATGCTTGACAACTTCATCGCTTGTTGCGCAGGCCTCTTCCGTGTCGTTCGTGGCCTGGACCTGCCCAGCGGTTCGAGAAAGGGCTGGACCCGCCAGACACCCAGATACCGTTGACACAAGCGGTGAAACTGCCAGAAGCGATGTGCCAAAAGCAAGTGTCAGACGTGCTGCACAGTTTGGATTGCGTAGCACGGGCAAGGCTAGTGATCTGGTTTGGTTTTGCGCTGTTTTGCAGGGTATTGAGCTCGGAGACTGCAATCCATCAAGAAGTTTCCATGTCCTTTGCAGGCCTCCCCCGCCGATGAAACCCATTTGCGCAGGCAACGACACGGAGCGTGTTTGGGTGCACAGCAGCTTGTGCAACTACCAGGCGCAGCTTGGAAAACATGGTGGGCTGGAAGCAACAAGACACCAAGAAATATCAAACACTACAGATGGTGAATGGTATGGTATGTACAGACGACCATTTATAAGCATGTTCTTGGTCCAAGCCTCGTAGCTGCAGTCTCAAGGGCGCTCCGTTCCGCAGGAGCCCTTTGGCGGTGAAGGTGGCCGCGAGCGGCGGAGCGCCACCTATGTGAAGCTCTGGGAATGGAACTATGCGACCCGAAGAACGAGGATCTTTAGGAACAGATGGAAGGGCAGTGGGTCAAAAAATCAAGGGGACTCAGGGGACTGACCTCCGAAGATGAACAGATTTGTAGGGGTTTATAGATCTTTGGTAACTTGGTAAGAATCTTCCATGGTTTGGTGGGGGAAGATTTTGATCAATTAGCCTTTTTACATGTTTTAGTATTTATATTCGGGACTCAAAGATTTATTGGGCCATGAAACGGTGTGGAACTTGGTCCAATATATACTATGTTATTAAGGCCGGAAGACTCTGCCGGATGTCCTGATGGATATGATGATAAGATGCGTTTCATGTGTGTTCTATTCTATCATGATGATATGTTTCCATGGAGGTGCCACCAACGTGTTCACCAAAACGTGAGACCATGGTTCCGGAGGCCCGATGTCCGGAACGAGGACATGCCGGGGCGGCCCATCGGTCCGGCATTTTTTCAGGTGGACGTCTTGAAGGAATGCCAAGAAGTCTTGGGCCCCTCAGGGGTGACAGCTGTGCAGCTGTCTCCAGTAGCTGAGCACTTGGTGGGGCCTCAATGGTGGGTCAGGCCCGCGGTGGCAGAGCGGATTGAGGGATGGGGTGAATGGGCTCACTATAGTAGGTGTGCAATGGTGTGCTTATATGGTTTTACATAGAGACAGAATATCTACATACAACATTATCTCTATATGTATGCAATTGTGTGCATATGTTATATGTTATATAGTTATATATAGTTGCTTTATAGGTCGGCCAGCGTCGTTGTGTTTTCCGAAAAGCCGCCCTCCATTTGCCATGCCTATGTTCTATGTTGAATTCTATTGGCGGTTGGCGTGTGTTTGATGTTAAGTACTCGACAAAGGCAATGCAGGATCTTGCAGAAGTTACCCCCAACACACGGCTTTTGGCGATGCGTTCCTTGTAGGGGATGAACCATTTTTGTGGCTTCCACCGTCCACAGTTTCATAATCAATGGGGATGTCCAATCACAGTCTCTCGTAGACACCTTTTTTGACGTTAAAGCTGCACATGCTTCGGATCTTGGGGACTTCGATCTCAGGAACCAGGGATCACGGACCCAGAAGTTTCAGACGTACCAATGGATGCCTGGGGGCTCCATAAATACTACAGTACATACCAGACGATTTGGTCCTGATCTTTTGGCTTAGGGATCCTTCTCAGGGTTCAATCAACTCGTGTCCATCTCATGTCCTAGCAAGAACCAACCTGCTCCAAAAGGGTCAACTCCAACCTGCCTAACAATATTGAGAGGAATTGATGGGCTTTGATTCGAGTTTGTTCGACCAAGATCGCTTTGGCCAGTTTCCACTGGGCGACGTGCGTTCTCAGCCCTTCGTCGATGTGCGTCAGCTCTCACGGCAATCCTGAGTTGCGTCATCCTGATCAAAGAGGAGTCATGAGGTGATTTGGGGTCCAATTTCACTTGTCTTCTCCGAAAACCACCATGAGGAAAGGTCCGTCCGATGCCTTTCCCTTGCTTCACCGCATCTTCACCGACCCTCGGCCGGGACACTGGTTCTACAAGCATCACGGAGATAAGGGTCTTCCCTAGTAGACTCAGATGTGGTTGTTTCGTGGTTCACACCTGTTCCAGGATCCTGTTCCTTCTTTCTTCCAGATGTGAAGGCTCATCAAAACCCCCCCCGGTCCCCCGTCACATCAATGTGACCCACGAAGTGGCAGCGCGGTCAGACGCGCGGTCCAGGTACCAGCCGGTGAGCGCTTCGTTGCACTCCCGCAGCGGCACGGCCGACGAGCTGCGCTCCGCCGTCGCGGGCTGCCGAACTGCAGGCCGGTGCCGTCGGGGTGACCGAGGCGGCTTGGGAGGAAATAGATGTTTCCTCCCCACGGTGCAAGGGTTGGTTGGTGGCGTGCGTGGCGCCCCAGTACTAGATGCGAGATGCGAGGAATACCAGCAAGAGAAAAAGGCCCGAAGACGGCGGTGGACTGGAAGTCCGTATAGTGTTTTTTATTTTTTTTGAGGTCACCTAGTCCTCCCCATCAACTTGAACTCCAAAAACAGCTCTCCATGCTGCAGGAGTTGAGGTGATCATCGACGTGGTTTTGAATCACATGGCTCGGCCCTGCCCAGCGGCACAAGAGTTGCTAGAAGGGACGCCCTGTGCGCCTCGGCCGTGGAGGGCGTATGTGATGGCTGAGGGGGGGTTCTACTTCATGCTGGAATGCATTGCAGAGTTAAGATAGTCAAGACTCTTAGTGAAGGAGGAGCCAAACTCGTCAGTGAATCAAGCGACCCAATTGCAGAAGTGTTGGAAGATGATGGAAGATGAAGGCATTCCCTGAAGCTTTCTTGAGGTTGGCTGGAATGGAACTGCCTATGGCAACCGGCGGACAGCAGGTGCACAATGGGGCATATTCGGACATCGGTTCCTCATTGCACAGTCTCCACCTTCAACTGAACTGCGGGAGCCGGGTTCATGTATTAATCCTTTGTCTCTCCTTGTTCAATCATGTGTTGCGTTCGGAGAGAAGCCGTATCGTCCTATGGAGGAATGGACCGGTCCATGGGAGGAGTGGCGTTGGTCGTATCGCCATTGTACTGACCTATGAAACTGGCCCCGAATTTCAGGCTAGAAAGCTGACTTTTGCGGCCCCCAAAGGGAATCCCAGTTGCCAAAACATATTATCCATATGGATATTCCATGATATTCCATAGCTGCTTCCTCACGTTTGTTGAGGGAATGGGTGCAAAAGGCTGGTGAACTGTCCTTGAAAACTAACTGAACAACATGAAGGTCGAAAACCTTTGCAGTCATGAGATGAAACAGTGCCCAAAAACATAGTCCAAATATCACACGGGTTTTTTCCGGTTTGGTTGGAGGCCTTGGAGGCCTTTCCGATCCCATCATGGCCAGCTTTGCCATCCCCCAACCCGTTAAACAGGCACACTCATCAGTCAGGTGGTTTGGAAGACCCCGACAGTGTGCATGGTGGTGGGCTCAGCCTGCAGCCCTCAGGCGCGCGCGGTTGGGATGCTGCCACACCGCTCCACTTCCATCACCGTGGCAAGGAGATTTGGGGAGCTTGTGGCGTCGGACCGGAGACAGGCGTGGGTGGACCGGAGTGAGACCCGGCGATGGGTGGCAGAAAGCAGAAAAGGAAGCCGGACGCTGGTGCAGAGTGGAGCGAACTCAGATTAATGTAGACTCTTGATGAATAACCACCCTCATTTGAAGTGCAACATCCACTTCAACTGAGGGTGGTTATTAATCAAGAGTCTACATTATGGTGTTCTTTGGAACCACTGCTGGTCGCTGGTTTGCCTCGGAGTCCAACGACTCATGCCTCAGAGGTTTGCGTGCTTCCTTTGCACACGTGTCCAGGCTTCCTTTGCGGGTCGCCGGTGACCACTGACTGCAGCTGCTGCCCTTGTGACATGTGCCTTGGCTCGGGTGAATGCTGCCAGCTGCTGGCTGCGTTCATCAGGGAACTCGATACACTGTTTACTCAACTCAACATTGCCCCAAAGACACTTATTGTTGGATTGCGTCCTTGCTCCGTTCGTAGCGATCCCCTTTGCTCCTAGCAGCGTCCGATCGCTCCTAGTAGTAAGGCCAGGAGCCCCTAATAGCTTCTTGTTACTGGTGGTTTTGGAAATCGGCCCGTTGTAGCCACCAAAGTTCATGCGAGCCGAGCACCAAGGTATGGCTTGCCAGACTGGGATCTCGCTGTTAAAGCGGTGGAGGAGTCTCATGCCAGGCATGTTGGCGCAGTGGCCACATGAGTTGTAATTCACATGCGCGGATGATCCCCCCACCAACCCTGGCCTATAGCCTATAGCCTATAATGGGCCTAATGTCTATTTTCTTCTGATTTGCGATGGAAATCCCACGATTTATTGTGCTTTGAGAGGTCCAGGAGTTGATCTTTCCGCCTTTCAGTCACATCCAGGGCGACCCTGAATGTTCGCAGTGCGAAGATGTGCGAATGCGAAGGTAGCTGGAAGCCTTAGTAGTCACCAATTAGGTCTATTCCATGTTGTTTTGTGAGAAGTTGCCATTGAGTCGACGCATCCAAAAATGCAGCCTGGCGTGTCTCCTCTGCCGCGCCGCAGGCATTTGGAGGAGTTGCACCGGATGGGCGTCACCATGCTCCGTGCGGGAGCCAAGCCTAATATGCCTAATGCAGTTCTGCAGGGAGCCCTGCACTGCAGTAGTACTGCAGCAGCTCGAATCAAGTTCTGAATGGAACTCCAAGAGTATTCAGGAATACTGTATATACATGGACATACGGATAAAAAAACACAACATGTGTCCAACAGGGGGTTCCAAACTCCAAACCCTGCCGGAAACACGCTGTCGCAGAGTTACTATATCAGCGCTGTGGCTGGTGAATGTCTAAGTCCACGAGCCAGAGCTGGTTTCTAAGGTATAGATGCCGCGCTGTACATGGAGTCAGACTTGGTCTCAAGGTTCTTGAATCGATTTCCCTGGGATATGGTCTACCAGGCCTGGTAGGGGACTGTTCTTTGCGGTTGCGCTGGTAGAGTGAAGATCAGTGAACTGCTTGAGGCTACATTTTGTGTTCTGGCATGGTATATCATAATAGGGTGAGCTGAGAGCTGATTCTGATGCTGTCAAAGAAGTTCAAAGAAGCCCAGTGTTTCGGCAGGGACATGGTATTCTTTGGGTGCTTTTGACCCTGTATTCACCATTGGAGTCTACAAACCATCCAGCCATCCATCCACCGACAACAACAGCAACAAATTGGAGATAACATAAGACAAACGATTTTAACACCGTGCCATGCGCGACTCGGTCAGACCACCCTTTTGAAGATTTTCCGTTCCAGGAATGGTGGCATGAGCTTCCCCTACCGGGACGCACCGACGTCTTTGGCCTGTATCGAGATTTGAAGTTCATGCGTCGCTTGGGCGCTGGAACATCACCCAAAGCAGGGGCAGGGTGGAGAGCAAGGTTGCATTTTACTATATAGTAATAGGGGCATTACCTAAGGGCAATTACTACTTTTTGGTTCATTTGGCGTGTCCGAGCCCTTTGAAAGTGAGACATGTGGTGATTCTTGAGGATTTGACGTCCAGGCAACACCGTATGCCATGAAAAAACAACATGTTTCACCGTTTCTCGCAGGAATTGAGCAGTTTTCCTTGGAGGTGCTAATAGGTGATACCGATGTTGTTCCTTACGTCGGCTTCATCGGCCGGCTTCGCCGGTCGAGGTCGCTGGGTCGACGCAACTCGGTGCGGAACGACGCCGCGGACGCAGGTCGCATCGCCGAGTTCCTGGATGTGGCGCCGCTGGCGCGAAGCCCGGAGGCGAAAAGGGCGGGTCCGGTGGAGGCTGGATGAGGATCAGGATGGATGTTTCAACAAAGCCATGTCTACAGGAAGATCCTATGTAAATGCAATAATGCAGGTGTGTGTTGACAAATCTAATCCCATTGGTTATGGTTGCAGACTGTTACAGATGAAGGGCTCCCAGTAACTAGAAGGCCTGCACGCAAACATGGTGGACTTCACGCCCAATTTTTGGGTATTTACGTAATGGTATTTATATATGTTACAAGTTGTTACTACCACTCGCACATCGGTCCAAGTCGATGTCATGCCGGACACTCTGGTCCGAACATGGGATTTCCCCAGGTGAAAAGGATCATCATGCACTACCAATCATGTACAGGGATGGCCCATGTTTCAAGGCGCCGATCTGCACCTATTCCAAAAAGCTGCGCAAGGAGGATGCGCGCTGCTGGGAGCACAAATGGACAAGCTCCATCGATGCACCCCTGTGGAAGGATGCGACCACATGCTCGAGGCTTTGTTGAGTTGAATGAGCCAGGAAAAGGCTGCGCTTCCAAGCTTTTGTGCAGATACAACAGCGCCTCACGAAGGATCTTGTAGAGGTCTCGAAATGTAGTTTGTTCCTGATCCCCTGAAATGCGAAAACCCGCAGAGTGAAGGGCGACCGCCAACTCACAAAAAGAGAACGACTCAGCTGGATGACTTAGCCACCGCAGTTGTTGGAAAAACGTTCGCACACTGATCCACGTTGCTGGTCCATGCTTCCAGGATTTCGGTGCTGACATCTCAGCTGGAATCTTTGGTTTCCATGAAAATTTTGCCAATGGAGTTGTCCAATGCCATTGTGGATAGAGGGCCATAGCCTGTGCCTCTGTCAAGGTATCAGGGACTTCCGGTACTGCCGCTTCACCAGCAGCATTGGTTTGTACAGCATTTGTGGGCAACAACGAATGAAGCTGTACCAACCATTGTTGATGTCGAAATGTGGCATGCTTTGCCCGGCTGTAGATCTCTGGGCACACTGGAGCCAGTCGGGATGCCAATCTCTTTGCAACACGGTCAGCAATCCTGTTTAATAAAATGTGTTGTACTGTTGTTCCACATGAGACCGCTTGTGTTTCTGTCAGCAAGTTGTCCGCAACTTCTTCAAGCTGATGGGCTGGAATCCAGTGAACTTGGAAAGGCTGTGGGTGAACCTGACGCCGCAACTGCACCAACTCACGAAAGCGAGCCCACCATGTCTGACAGAGCCATGTAGCTCGAACAAAACCATTCTGCAAAAAATCATGGATCTGGTTGACCGCTGATTGACAGTCTGAGTGCACGATCACCGGAGTAGTTGCCTGGCAAAAGGCACGGAAAATTGCCCACAACTCGGTGACAAAGGAGCTCAAGGCCCAATGGTTCACCAAGCCAGCAGAGACCGTGCTTCCATCAGCAGCAATAATAGCAAACGTTCCTGTGGCCAGCCAAAAATTTTCGCCATGAATAACTGATCCATCTGTCCACAACTGGGTGGTTTCACCAATGTCAAATGACTCTGAAAACACCAGCTCGTCAGACTTCTGGTGCAGCAGCCGCTTGCGCGCGATGAAAAACGGATGTTCCACATGGCCAAGCATCATAAAGTTTTCTCCCAGTTGGTGGGCAACTGGCACTCCAATCTCCTGGTGCAGGCTATCACATTCCGCTGTAAGGTGTGGCATTGATTGCTTGGTTTGCTTGCAAAAGCGGCACACTGAGGATTCAGTCCACCCTGTGGCCGCCATGCGGTCATTGGTGAGAGAACATCCAACCACGACGGATTCAAATCGCACAGTGTTCGGAATACCATCTGTAGCATCTTGACACTTAGCAAGAGAAAGAACAGACAATTGATGGTCAAAAACACCTTTCGGCTTGAGGAAGTCCTTTCGTGGTGTGGCAGTAGCCTTATGGTAACATGCATGTCGGCAAATTGCCTGAAGGGCTCTCCGAGCATCCTGAGGTGTGAGTTGCGCAAAACTGACAGGTTGAGACCCAAAAACCGAAAGCCTTAAATCCTGATCAATCTCGATTCCAAGTGTGTCACAGGCCACACGAAGACGGCTAGCAAGCGAGTGAGGTAAGTTTTGCGGACTTGAAAAAGTACGCAACAACTTTGGGAACAACGCAGGCTGGAGAAAGCAAGATCGCAAAGCTTCAATGACAACCTGATAAGCACAAGCAAACGTGGGGCTCAGTGCGATGTGGTTTGGAGAGAATGGCCTGTACCAACCATTTGGATCTCCATTTTGGCCGTCCATACCACAAACAGCGCACAATTGCGTTCTGAATTTGATCAAGTGCTTTCTTGGGAATACGGGAAATGTGAGCACCATATGTCAACCGCGGGATGACCTTGGCTCCTATCAGGAAGGATTTTGTTGTCCGGGGAATCGGCAAGACCGCAATGTTATCAATGTCTGTCAAAGCCTGTTTGAGAGCCTTGTCAGTAAACCCAAACGGGGAGTTGAAAGCAGTGTAGACTCTTGTGCCCAAAACTTCGAATTCCGTAGCAACTGGAAAGTCGGAAAAGGCAAGTTTAAGCTTTTGTCTACCACCTTTATTATTACTCCAAAGGGCAGATTTATCCGGGTTCAGCTTCTGTCCAACCAATGCATCCCAGACACGAGTAACCTGGATCGCTGTCTGCAAGTGATGCAGATTAAGAATGCGGCACCACAAATATGCATCATCGATGTAGGCTCTCGCCGAAATTCCTGGTAGGTTTTCAATTAGATGATACCAGACTTTGTTGTAGGCATTCATAGCAAGAATGGAGAATGAACAGCCTTGTGCCACTCCATTGGGATGGGTGGTGTACACAGGTGTGGTCCAATTTCTATATGCCATATGCTTACGTAAGCCTTGATAAAACCGCACGAAGATGCTGACAACATGTGCCGGAATGCCAAAAGCAATGAACAAACAGGCAGCAAACTGTGGAATGATACGATCAAACGCCTTTGATTTATCAATCTGTATGCCTACAACTGTCTCACGATCAAGATTGGCCAAATCCAGTTCAAGGCGCACTTCATTATAGAGGCTGGACATGGCACGGTGCTTGACACCACCGACAATTGCAGCAGGAAGTGCTTGCTGTTGCCATTGCTGCAGGTGGGCATACCGCGCCCCTGTATAAGCAAGAAGCAACGGGGGAATGATTGTTATCAAACGCTTGTTCATTGGTGATGCAGGCCCTGGCTTGTTCAAAATGACCTGCTTGGCAGTGACTAGAGCTCGAGGTAATGGGTCATTTGACTGTTCAAGAGATTGGAAGAACAACGCCAAAACGTGGAAACACGAAGGATGCAGTACTTGCAGTTCTTGTGTACGCCATCCATCAAGGCCAGGGGCCGCACGTGGCTTCCGTTTTTGGATAACCTGGTACAAATCCTTAGCCGAGATCGGGGGCAACTCAACTTGGACCTGCATGTCATGAATATAAGGCCACACAACCTCAAGCATTTTGATGGGATGGTCAGCCAACACATTAGAAGCAAAGACATCGTCCCACTTACAATTAAGTGTGGCAATCGCTTCCTCAGGCTGGGTAATGATCTGACCGTTTTCATTCTGGACCAAGTTTGGAGGTTCATCTTGCGCTTTTTGACAAAGGTGCTGAAAAACATAAGCACACCCACTGTTAGCAGACTCATGAATCTTGCGTTTCCAGCTCTGAATCCTCTTGAGGCGAAGTCGGCTATCCAATGTGGCAGCAAATTGTTCAGCCCATCTGCGCACCAAAAACACTTCCACAAGCGAAGGACACTCCGGAATGGCCCAAACAATCGACGGTGCCAAATGGTTTACAATATTGAACGACTTCCGGGCAAGCCTTCTCGTGTTGAAGACATCCTGGGGTGACCCACCTTCTCTGGAAAGCCTCGTAAACAACTCATCAAGCCTACGGATCAGTTTATAGAGGTCAAGAGAAACCTGTGTAGCGGCACATCGGGTCACCAATTGCTTTGGGCAAACACGTTTATTAACAAACTGTGGTGGTGCAGCACGGGTTTTGGGACCCGAACCCCATTGGCCCCCTTGATCCAACAGGGTTTGTTGGAAAAACTCGTTCACAATCTTCCATTTGGCCTCATGGTCAGGGGCTGCATGAAAGGAGCCTTCAAACTGATCCCGCCACAGAGGGGAGGGTGCATCGCTGAAGGGGCCAACTTGAACTTGCGAGGCGTCAATCGGGGCAAATTTATGGACGATATACCCATTCTGGAGCCAGGAATCCCATTGAAAGGTGACCTTGATTGGGCGATGTTGGCGCCCAAAGTGCTCTAACACATGTGCATCATGCATGGCACAGAAGGCGACCTTATTAAGGAGGACTCCATCAATGGAGGTACACCCATCATCCGCTCCTGAAAAACAACAGTCTTTAGAGATCTTTAGAGTACGTATAAGGCCGGGTCAAGGAGCCCATTTCATCAGTTGAGGTGAGCGGGTCAACCCACCCATGAAAGTTCATGGCCCCAGCCAGAGAAGGATAGGTGGCAGGAACCGCTTGGAAATCCCCGGTCAAAATGACAGGAATGTCACCGTACTGGGCAACCAAGGTGAGGATATCAGCAAACATCTTATCATTTTCACCATGAACCCTCGAATCGCTTGAAGCACCTGTGCAAGCGTACACACACAAAATCAAGGCCTTGATTTTGGGGGTCACTTGATACCAAGCTGCAGCAAACCTTTTTGTTTGAAAGAGACCATTGAACAATCCAGTTTGGTCATGGTGCATCTCAAACGGAGTGATGGCTGTGTCAGAACCAAGAATGGCAGTTCCCCCACATGGCGCTTTTGTTGTGCCATTGGCATGCCATAACCCCGGCAACAACTGACCAAGGATTGGTCGGAGGCCAACAGCCTCAATGTTTCGAACAGAAGTACGGACATTATTCTTGCCAATTCGTGTCTCTTGAAGACAGATGATGTCGGCGCCCCACGACTTCCACAAATGATTGGTATTAAGGGACCCAATGTTAGCCGAAACAAGTGAAACAAGTTCGGGTCCCTCTCCTGGATATCCCTTGGTGGAATCAAAATGCAAGACAGAATGTTGACGACGTCGACATGCCGCACTCACTCTGCCATCGTGTTTTGACGCACAAACGAAGAAGTAAGGTGGGAAAGGCCCACCGCTCTTGGGTGTATGATCCTTGAATTCACTCAGCAGGTCACACCACAGCTCTGACACAAGGATGGTCGGGCACAGAGCAGCCGGCCACACAAGCGAGCAAAAAGAGGCAATGGCAAGGCACCACTGAAAATACATTAACTTATGACGAAAGCGGTTGGGAGGGAAATGCATCTCCTTCAACCTAATCATGCGGAGCACATGATCCCCTGGGTATTCAGCACAGAGGCTGAATGGCCAGCACTGAAGAATGACATGGCGCAAAACGAAGGCACAGAAATGAAGAGAGACAGAGAGGAACCATGGCCTGAGCCACACACAGAAGGCCAGCAAGTGGAAAGAAGTCCAGACCTGCAAAAACGTCACAACGGCAGATGGCCAAGTGAAGTCCACAAAATGCGCCATGCTCACAAGCCAGTGCACCCACATTTTGAGATGGAGAAAGCAAAAGGTAAGCCATGGGCCAGTGAAAAGTCCATGCCCAAGCAACAGCGCACGAATAAACCACAAACACGACCAAAATCCAGAGGCAAAGGGCCTAAGGACACACAAGGGCCCATGGCAGGGCTGTCAGGTGATCTTCACATGCTTGGTGGGCGGGCTTTCGCCCGTTGCTTCCCTTTGTCTCGGGTTTGTATTGGCAAGGAGTTGTCGAAGGCTATCTTGAATTGCATCAAATTTGGTGTCAACACGGCCTTCGAATTGTGATTGCCTTGCCTCAAGTTTCTCAAACCGGTCTTCAAGCCGGTCAAGACGGGCATCGTCTGGACGAGATCCGGAGGCTGGGGTCTTGAGAGGCCATGAATGCACAGCTTCTTCCTGCTTTGGCGGTGACTTGGTCTTTCCTTTTGATTTCCCCTTGGCAGCGGAGCGAGGCGGAACGTTCTGACCAAGTTCTTGCACAAGGATCTCAACGACATCTTTGTTGATCTCAAGCGTGAAGCGGTTTCCTGAGCAGTGACAACCCAAGTGTGCACACCTGCAGCTCGGTACGTGCGCATGGGGATGACTGGAACTCCAATCGCAGCTATGGTGGAGGCAACAACGTGAGCTGCGTCAGTCGCAGCCGGCCAGCCGGACAGCTCAACGGACAACTTAGGTACAATGTGCATGTGTTCAGGAACAAGGCGCGCATCCCCTGCAAGAAGGCTCTCACGAGCAGCTTTGACCTGATCACACCAAACCCGAACAGCGAGTCCACGTCGAGCAACCACGATCCCTGCAACACCAGGGGTGCCTTGAATCGTGATACGGACTTTCTGCAGTTCCTGAGTCGAGATGGGCCACAAACGGGGCAGGATGGTCGTGTTACCTGCCTCCTTGCCCTTCTCCAGGTAATCACGAATCAGCAGGCTTGTGGATCCGCTGGCTTCGAGCAACTGCTTTCGTGCAACAAATGGCTCTTTGAGGACACATTGCAATTGCGCTTCCTGCTTGCTCGCACCTGGATGGTGTGACACACGGTAGCCATACAGTGTGGCTGTTGCTTGCATGGAAGGCATGACCTCATGCAACATGGTCTTGAACATCATGATCGGGGATTCCTTCACTTTGTCGAAATCACTTTTGCTGACCAGTCGCGAATCGAGTTCCAATACCAGCTCTGCAATTGCAGGCGTTGTCATCTTATATTTGGCTTCAGGGAGTTGGAATCGAACTTTGCCAGCAAATACCCTAAGTCACCGAAATTAGTAAATTTACATTTTCATTGGATTTACGTAAATTGATGAATTTAGGTGGCAAAAAGTGTAAATGGGTTAGTAAATGTAAATTTGATTTAGGTACAACCTAAATTTATTTAGGTTGGTCTTCACTAAGGGTTTTCCTATTTTTTCATTACGTTTTGATTTGCAAATATTCAAAACTGCATCTAAAACACATCTTTTGAAGAAAGTAATTTGTAAAACATATAGCCACAAGTAGAGACACTTGGATAAAACCACAAGCACACACACTCAGGTATAAGCACGCAGGAAAGACAAGCACAAGAAAAATATCTTGGGCTGTCCAGGACTTGGTTCACTATCTTGCGCTGTTCTTCTGTGCGTCCCTTCTTCATGCTCAAGGTCTTCTTCCAAGCCTGCACAACATAGTCTGGCAGAGAGCCCTCAGACAACAAGGCCTTGAACTTGTTGTCCTTCGACCTGTCCTTCTTGGCCTCATCGCACTCGAAGAAGTCTGCATTGTCCTGCTCCTCCTCCTCCTCCACATTCTCTTGGTTCATCCTCTTCAACTTCTGGCGCTTCCTCCTCCTGATCCTCCTGCAACCCTGCTGCCCAGCCATGAGCTGCTGGCTTCTTCTTTGGCTGTACGGTTTCTCCACTGGCAGCAGGCCTTTTTAAAGAGCCTGCCTTTGGCTTTGGCTTTGGCTTGCTCTTTCCTTTTGCTTTGGGCTTCTTCCCTTTAGGGCTCTTTGCTTTTGGGCTCTTGGATTTTGGGGTCTTTGCTTTGGAAGCTGGCCTTTGCTTCACAGGTGTACTGGGCTCTTCAACTACACCATCGTCCTTCTCCTCAGGAGTGACTTGGCCCATGGGGGTCTCTTCCTCTGCCATGCCAATGCCAACAAGCTACTGCGCCTATCTTTCAAACCTTTCAAAGCTCTTTGAGATCAATCTAGCTGCAAAAGTAAACAACAACCAATAAGCCAGCTGTGCAGTAAACTCTCAACAACTTCAATTTGAACAACATACAATGCTGATCAACTCTTTGTGCAA